GCTGACCTGGCTGCTCACCTGCGCACTATAGATGAGACCTGGCGTGCTGCCTGCACTGCCACACAGCTTCTAGCCCACCAGCCGCCCCTCACCTCTACTCTCTACCTGCTAGCCAGCCGCCTCCCTGACCGTCTTGCCACTGCCCATGACCACTTTCTTAGTGTCCACCTCGCAGACCTCACCCTCACTGACTTTGTTGACACCCCGATCGCTATAGAGGCCCGCCACCGCTCTATCGCTCAGACCAGCGGTACTGTGCCGGTCCCTATCTTTCAGGGTTGCGCCCCCGCTCAGTGCACCTTCTCCGACGGTTCTGCTGCTGTGGCTGAGACTGCCGCTGCAGCACAGGTCCGTCCGGGGAAGGGTCGCCGCCCCAAGGCTGGGCGTGGCGGGGGGGGTGGGGGTGCAGGTGTAGGTGGTGCTGGAGCTGGGTCTCCTGGTGGTGGTGCGGACGAGGGGACCCTGACAGGTGCAGCTGAGCAGCCGTCTCAGCAGCCGCCGGTGTTGCAGCCGAACTCGCGTCAGCCGCAGCAGCAGCAGTGACGGGCGACTGGTGGTAGCGCTGAACGTGGTGGTGGTGAGCGTGGCGGGCTGCCGGGTGGTGGTTCGGGTGACGCGCGCTGTCAATACCTGCTCCAGACCGGTCCTCGCCGTGGCTTCGTTTGCGGTAAGATCGGTCACACCTCTGTCCGCTGTTTTCGTCACCTGGACGACCTGTTTCGTCAGCGCTTCGGCCCGTCGCCCGAGCTCCCAGACTGGCACAGCTTGCTTCGTCGTAGGGTTCAGAATTTTTTATCTGGATATGGATGCGATTGTTACTGCTCTGCATGTGATGTATGCTGATGACTCTAGTGTGCTTCAGTCTTATTACCCCTTGTTGCCTAGTGTAGGTGTGCCTTGCTTAGCCTCCCCTGCTGCGTCAGGCGTAGGATCCCCAGCTTTGTTTAGCCTTGGTGCTTCCGTCGCTGCTTCGCCTCCGGCCGCCACTGCCGCGCTCTCCTTCGCCCTCGACTCTAGCGCTTCCCGGTGCTTCTTCCGCGACTCCACCACGTTGACACCGCTTCCTGTCCCTGCCGCAGTCTCTCTTGCTGACCCCTCCTCTGGCCCTGTAGTCGCCCGCAGTTCCACCACCCTCCCCTGCCCGGCGGTTCTTTTGGGCTCGCTCACAAAATTGCACATCCCCTCGTTCCCCAGGAACCTAGTTGGTGTCGGCTGCCTTCGGGGTCTTGGCGTCACCACTACGTTCCCTGGACACGAGCGGTACGCTGTCTGTACCGAGGCCGCCACTGGTGCCCTCCTGTCCATGTTCCCCCGAGACCTGGTGTCCGGTCTTTTCACACTGGACACGTTGACCCCCCCGGCTCGGACCCCCCCTCAAGTGGCTGCGTCTCCCCCGGTTGCTGCTGCCTGCTCCTGTCGGTCTCTCACCCACCCGACTCTTCTCTGGCACCACCGTCTAGGTCACCCTACGCTCCCGCGTGTGCTTCACATGTCACAGCACGGTCTCGTCCTAGGCCTCCCCGGGTCGTTCCCCGAGTTTCCCTCCTCCCCATCCCCACCTTGCACGCCCTGTGTCGAGGGCCGGCTCCGCCATGCCCCTCACTCCTCCTCGTTTCCCCCTACCACAGCACCGCTACAGACTCTGCACATGGACTTCTGGGGACCCGCCCCCGTCCATGGGCCGCGTCGAGAGCGCTACTTCCTAGTGCTTGTCGACGACTACACGCGCTACACCACGGTGTTTCCCCTGGAGCGGAAGGCCGACGTGCCTGACGTTCTCATCCCGTGGCTTGTCTCTGCACGTGTCCACCGCAGTCTCCCTATCCTGCGTCTCCACTCCGACCGTGGTGGCGAGTTTGCCTCAGGTGTCCTTGGTCGTTTCTGTCGTGCGGAGGGCATCACCCAGACGTTCACCTTGCCGGACTCCCCGCAGCAGAATGGGGTCGCTAGGCAACGCATCGGTTTGGTCATGGAGGTGGCTCGCACCTCCATGATCCATGCCGGTGCACCCCATTTCCTGTGGCCGTTCGCCTTTCGCTATGCCGCTCACCAGCTTAACATGTGGCCGCACCCCCAGCAGCCTCAGGTTTCGCCGACCCTTCTTTGGTCTGGGTCCCCTGGTGACGCGTCTGAGTTTCACGTCTGGGGCTGCCTTGCTCACGTTCGTGCCTCTGGCACGGACAAGCTCACTGTCCGCACCCTTCCCAGTGTCTTCCTCGGTTTTCCCCTTGACGCGTCTGACTGGCACTTCTACCACCCGCCGTCTCACCGGTTCTTTCACTCCGGCGACGTCACCTTTGACGAGTCCGTCTCCTTCTTCCGCCGCTTCCCCCACCGAGGTCCCCCGGTTACCCCCCCCTTGTTCCTGGTCACCCCTTCCCCGCTCGTTGCCGCCCCTCCTCCTCCCCCTCCCCGTCCTGCCCCCTCTGGTGTGTCCCACGTCACCCCACTTCCGTCGGTTGTCCCGGTTGAGGAGTCTGCTGAGTCTGGTGGTCCTGCGGCGCAGTCCTCGCCGCCTGCCCCTTCTCAGGTGTCTCCTCCTTCGCCGCCTCCGCAGCCGCCGTCGCCACCGCTGTCGCAGCCGTCGTCCCCGTCGTCGCCGCCGCCACCGCAGCCGTCGTTATACATGTTATAGTTCACGAATTATGTGTGTTCAAGTCTTGGTTTTTGGGGGTTCTGGGAATTCGTAGCGAATTCGCGCGTGTGGGGCGAGATTGGGGTATGGGCAGGAAACGACAATTGGTGGGGGGGAGGGGGGAAGGGCTGAATAGGGGGGGAGGCGACGAGATTGCAGGGGCGGAGGGAATCTCTTCCCTCGCAAAGCCCTAGGGCAGGCGCACATCAAGCAAATTCGGCCAAGGGCCAGCAATTGCCCTCACACAGTCCTCAGCACACATCGAGGCGAATACATGGCTAAGGGCCGATGACCTCCCTCACATGACCTCCAACATACAGCGCGGAGATTTTTTTTACCAAGGGCCAATCAGCGCCCTCACACAGCCTCGGGGGGTGGGGGAAAGGGGGGGGGAGAACCTCGAAATTCTTGACTGCCCCCCCTAGACACGCTTTTGGAAAGGACTAAGACTCTCTACAATGCTGAGAAATTCATGGTTCGCTAAGAAACCTTGCTGAGCGATCAGAGGTTACCCTTACAAAAAGCCTGAAAAAATAGGGTGTGTCATTTACAAAACCCTGCACTATCAGGGTAAGTACCGAGAAACTCCCTGTTTTTTTCCTGAATCAGGAAAAAATTCCTGACTTCTGGGGGCCTGCAGTGGACTGATTGTATTGTTAAAATTATATATTGAGTTATATAATGTGTAGGCTTGGTAGATTAGATGTTACTGAACATTACTGTAGGGGGTACAACACCCCTCCTTGTATCCCCCTCTCTTCTTTCCTAATTCTGTTTTCTCTCACCAACTTTCCTAGCCTAAAACCTCTCGCCATATCCATGGCTCCTCCCACCTAGATCCTAGTCTCAGGCATGGTAACAGAGCGGTTCCCTTCCCGGGCCTGCTCCCCTCGCTTCCGCCGCGCACTCCCTCCCCGTCCTGCCGCGCTGGCCTCGTCGCGCCGCGCTGGCCCCGTCAATCCGCGCTGGTCCCGTCGCGTCGCACGGGCCACGCGTTCGCTGTGTTTTCGTCCCCTGTTCGTCGCCGCCGCGGCCTTCCTACTGCCTGCCGCCGGGGCACCTTGTGTCGCGGCGACCCCTTGTGCGCTGTCGTCCCAGCGTCGACGAGCAGCCGCGGCGACGACGCCACGCTGTGGTGGCGTCGTCGTGATGCCGTGACTGTGTCTTCGGCCTGGTGCCGTCGTGCACCACCTGCGTCGCTGCTGGATTTGCAGCCCGCTCGCGTGCCAGTAAGCGCCGCGCCAGCAATGGCGCCACGCTGAAGTTCCGAAGCCCCGCCCCTTCCCCCTCCCCTCCATCCCCTCCTCTTCGCCACAGCCGTCGCCTGACTCTCGCCGGTCTTCCCCTTGCCGCGGAGTATGGACACGCCGCCGGAAGGGCGGGGGCCGCTGCCGTTACCGCCGTCGTAAGCCGAAGCCGTCGCCGTCGCCGCTGTTCGCCTCAGGCCTGTTGCCGCCGCGCGCCCGTCGTCACCGTCGCTGTCGCCGCTGCCGGGACGGCCGCCGTCGCCATCTCCAGGGCCTTGGGGTTGGCCCTGCTAGAGTAGTCGTGGCCAGGGCTCCCGTTATCAGACCAAATCGGTCTGATGGTCTGAAAATCAGACCGGGTTTTTATGTTTCATCTGATTTTTTGACGAGCCAAATATATTCGTCTGATTGTTCAGACAAGTTATAAGAATTCGTCTGAAACATCAGACCAGGTGTACACATTCATCTGATTCATCAGACCGGCCGTTTTTTTCCATCTGATACCGACAAACCCACCCTTCTAGCAGCAGGGCCACTACTGTCCACATGCCCACTGGGCCACTGCCTGCCACCTGGTCCCATGTGCACCGCAGCACGCGCATTCAATTCTACCCCGAGCGCGGCAGCAAAACAGTCCAGCGCACATAAACAGTCTGAATTCTCAGACACGTGCTTGCATTTCGTCTGAATCGTAAGACAGGCAAAACAAATCCGTCTGACGGTCAGACGAAGCTCTAAGTACCAGTCTGATTTTCAGACTGCCCTAAAAACTAGCAGGAGCCCTGGTCGTGGCTGATGGGAATGGGGGTGCTAGGTTAGGGGGTGTGGGGGTGTGTGGTGTTAGCGTACGAGAATACTAGGCGGCCATGGAATACGAGAGGAAGGTTTAGCTAGGGGTAGAAGATACGAGAGGAAAAGAGTATGAACTAGAAGAGAATCAGGTACAAGAAGGGGAGTTATTCCCTCTACAGTAGGATGCAGTAGCACAAATACCAAGCCTATAGTTATATAAAATATAATTTTAACATGTGGGTCCCTGCTACCAAGCCTAAGGGGTGTGTTAAAATTATGTAGAGTTATATAATGTGTAGGCTTGGTAGATTAGATGTTACTGAACATTACTGTAGGGGGTACAACACCCCTCCTTGTATCCCCCTCTTCTTTCCTAATTCTCTTTTCTCACCAACTTTCCTAGCCTAAAACCTTTCGCCATATCCATGGCTCCTCCTACCTAGATCCTAGTTTCAGACATGTATGACCTGCAAAGTGCTTCGTCTGATGCAGGAAAATAGAGGACGACAAGCTCAAGGAAAAAGAGCACTATGGTTGGGCACTGAATGGTTTTTGTGCCCAGTGTGGAGCACAACGGAAAAGAAAATGAGGCGAAAAAGCAGGGAGAAAATCGAGAGGGAGAGAGCGTGTGAGAGAGCGAGGGGAAAACAGAACGAGAGAGACATATTGAGATGAGAGTAAGAGAGAGACAGAACGAGGAAAGGATGTGAGACTGAGAGGGACAATAGAACGCAAGGAATGAGTGCAGCACGAGAAACTGGGAGACTTGGGTGGCGAATCCAGCTCGTCGGGTGTCTCCGGAATCCAGATGTCTTGCACAAGGCCTCCAATCCTGCCCCCTTTTTTGTGCTTCCAAACCCTTGGCTTTCAGGTCAACTTCGAAGCTTGACTTTGGACTATGCTGTAATCGCTGGCATGCCTCTGCACTTGAGCAAAGTACCCAACCCTTCTTCCTCTTCCTTGTGCTTCAAATCAATTCTCCCCACCGGGTTGGATTCTGAGAGCAGGGGGGCGGTGGAGGGCGAGGGGAGAGGTTGGGACAGGAGGCAGACCTGGCTTTCCGCCCCCTCTCCCCAACATGCCTGCTGTTGTTTCAATTGGTGCTGCTGCGGCTGCTGCTGCTGCTTTTGCTGCTGCTGCTGCTGCCCTCTCTACACTTGTAGATGTGGTACTGCTGTCCCCTTTGGCTGGAGCAGCCGCCGCTGGAGCAGGTGCTGCTGCTGCTGTTGCTGCTTCTGCTGGTGTTTCCGTCGAAGCTCGCAACCGGCTCCCGTTGCCTGCACTAGCAGATCCAGCTTGGCTGAATTCAACTGCAACTGGGGACAGGGAGTGGGCCGAGTCAACCTCCTCTCCCGCACCTCGAGTGCCATTCCCGGCGACCGTGAAAGAAGGAGAAGACACTGTGGCCTGTGTCATGTGTGCCGGTGGTGTGTAAACACCTGAGTTCAAAGTTCCTCCTACACTGCTTCCTCTCGCTCTTCCTCCACCACCCAATCCGCTGGGCCCCACGGCAACACCGCCACCGCCACTGCCACAGCTGGTGCTCGCAGCAAACCCCCCCAGGGTAGTACCTGAATACGCCCTTGGAGAAGACCCTACAGCCACCCCTGCGGCAGCAGCTGTGGCAGCAGCCGCAGCAGCAGCAGTGGCAGTGGCTGCTGCTCCTTCTGCCGAAAGTGTGGTGGATCGAGCAGCAGAGCTCCTATGTATTGTTTCCACATGAGGAGAGTCCCAGTGCTTCGGCCAGCGGGCGTGGCGACGGCGGCAGGAGAGGGGGGACGTGGGGGGGAGGGAGCGAGGGGAGGAGGCCGGGCAGGAGAAGGAGGAGGGGGTGGTGGGGGACGCAAGGTAGGCATCCGTGTGGGATGAGCGCGGGGTTACTGGGACCGCAGCGGCAGGAGAGGAGAGAGAGGATTTTTCTCCTGGTGCTGCTGAGAATGATTCTCTATCTCCTTGCCCGGACCCTCCTCCTCCTGCTCGTCCTACTGCGCCCGAAGCTGGGGAGTGGGGGACAAGAGGGGGGAGAGGGGGGGGCGAGGATGCTGCATGCAGGAGTGGTGGGAATCCAAGACCAGCAGCACCAGCAGCAGCACCAACGGCAGCAGCACCACCAGCAGCGCCACCACCACCACCAGTAGCAGCGGCAGTAGCTGTACCAGCAGCAGCGGCAAGGGGTGTGGTGCGATGAACTGAGGAGGGCGGACTGGGGGGTTGGGGTGGAGTGGGAGGGGGGCCTCTTGGGGAGAGCGCGAGTCGGGAGAGGGAGCGCAGGGAGCGGAAAGAGATAGCCACTTGCAGCTTCGACGCCGCTCGCATGCGGAAACTCATCCCATGAGGGCTCTTGCTGCCCTGGCTGTTGCTGCTGCTGCTGCCGCCGCCCTTGGTGCTGGTGCTGGTGGTGCTGGTGTTACTGCTGCTGCTGTTGCTGCTGCGGATTGTGTTGTCATGGCTGTGGCTGTGCTGATGCTTGTAGCTGCTGCTGGCCGGACCCAGAGTGGAGTGCCGTCCTGGACTAAGGGATTCAGCAGCAGCAGCAGCAGCAGCAGCAGCGCTGGGATTGCCCGGGGCAAGGCGAGCAGCATCAGCAGAAGCACTACCAGCGGCACCACTAGAAGCATTAGCAGCAGCAGCAGCATCAGTAGAAGAAGCAGCACCAGGCATTCTGGAGTAGCCAGAGCTAGAGCTTGAATGCCCCCCCATGCTCCCCTCCTCCGTGTTCCCCCCTCCTGCCCTCGAACGGCTGACACCCCTGCTTGCACCGTTCACACTGCTGCTACCACCACTGCCACTGCCACTGCCACTGCCACTGCCACTGCCACTGCCACTGCCACTGCCACTGCCACTGCCACTGCCACTGCCACTGCCACTGCCACTGCCACTGCCACTGCCACTGCCACTGCCACTGCCACTGCCACTGCCACTGCCACTGCCACTGCCACTGCCACTGCCACTGCCACTGCCACTGCCACTGCCACTGCCACTGCCACTGCCACTGCCACTGCCACTGCCACTGCCACTGCCACTGCCACTGCCACTGCCACTGCCACTGCCACTGCCACTGCCACTGCCACTGCCACTGCCGCTCCCTTTGGCAGCAGAGGAGGGTTCATCGATTCCCAAGGCGGCAGCAGCAGCCCCGCGCTGAGAGCGTTTCCTTGCATGGGGTACGAGCGGGCCACTGAAGCTCCTGAGCGCAGCAAAGCGCATGCCAGGAGGCATGGCGTCTAGAATGTCGTCAGGCTGTGCCGATGCTGCCACCCCATGGCCCGATCCTCCTGTCCCTGCTCCTGCTCCTGCTCCTCCTCCTGCAACTACTCCTGCTCCTCCTCCTCTAGTTTCCCGTGCTATGCTGTGCCCAGTAACAGTATCATTGCCAGCAGCAGCACCAGCAGCAGTGTCTAGTCCGGATAACGCCAATTCTTCGGCCAGGCGGCTCCCCCCACTCCCGCTGCTGCTGCCACCGCTGCCACTGCTGCTGCTGGTGCTCGCACTTGCCATAAACCGATGCTGATGCTGCCTCCGCTTTCCATGCTGGTGCTCTCTATATCCTCCCACCACTCCTCCTCCTTCCCCTCCTCCTACCCCTCCTCCCCCAACCCCTGGGCCGTTTACACCTCCCCCCTCCCCACCTTCCCCTTCCCCTATTGCTGTCACCCCCCCAGCCATAACCGACTGGCTTCGGGGGAAGAGAACGGATGCAGGGGAGCGGAGCGAGAGAGAGGATGAGCGGAAAGAAGAGAACGCGGAGAGGGAAGTGGTGGAGAAGGAAGGGGAGGGGAGGGCGGAGGGGGAGAGGCTCGGGGCAGCGGAGGCGGAAGGGGAGGAGAGGGAGAGGTTGTTTTGGAGAGGGAGTAGGCGCTCCCGTGTGGCGAGAAACTCGGTCCATTTGGCGTGTGCTTGGGAGACTATGCTGGTTGCGCCGTCTACCCCCATAGCCTGGTCCTGCGAGCGAGGGAGGTCTGAGTGGCGGAGGTACAAGTTGGGAGGGGAGAAGGGGGTGGGGGGAGGAAGGATTGGAGGGAGGGAGGGGCCGGAAGGTGGGGAGGCATGAGGAAAAGGGAAAAAGTAAGGGCAGCAAACGAGATGAGTTTTTGGTGAGCACTCCAGTGGAGAGTTGAGTCAATGGAGAGTTCGTTAGGTCGACTGGTAAGAAAGCAACGGCGGGGGTTTTATGGGAAGGGTCTAGAGGCACTAAGCCATGCCACGTTGGTTGATGTTGAGTGCAAAAGGAGAGAGGGACCAGTAGCTATTGCGCTGCTTCCCTCCCTCTGCTACCTTTATATCTTATTTATAACTACTTTATAACTTATTTATATCTATTTTATATCTTTTCTGTTATCTTGGAAACGCACTTCCGCTTTACTCTGACTTATAGTAACGGCAGGCAGGGAATAATTAGTAAACAAAACCCTGCTGGAACCCCCTGTGCTAAGGCTCTCTTCCTACGCCCTTCCCCCCTTCTTCCCACGTTTCCACTTAAACCCTCGCACCCCTTCCCAAGTTTGACGATGGGTGACGGCGATTAAGAAACAACAGGAGCCTGTTGGTTTGCACCGGTCAAACCTGTATCCCATATTTTACGTTTCTCACCCATCTTTTTCAAAACATCCTTTAAAACAAAAACATCGTTTTCCTCCAGCCAATTCATCCAGGTCATCCATCCCCGATATAACGCACCTGCTTTCGAGTTCACCAGCGCCTTTAGATCGCTGTGCACGTCTCGCAGCACATCCCCGAGCGTGCCGCCGCCCTTGCTCACTTCCGAGACACGTGTCATCAGATCCGCCATCGGATCCGTCGCCGCGATCGTCACGATCTTCCACGACGGCCGCGGCTGACGTGTCCCCTCCATCACGCAGAGCGCCGCGAGCACGCGCACGGGGTACGACTCTCCGACTTTGCGTTTCGCGGATCCGATATCTAGGACTTCTAACGGGCACCCGAGGAGGAGAGGCGACAGGGGGCCCTGCGACGACGATTGCGACTGCGACTGCGACTGCGACTGCGACTGCGACTGCGACTGCGACTGCGACGGCGACTGCGATTGCGACGACTGCTGCGACTGGGTGTGCGACAGGTGCTGCGACTGGGAGGGGGACTGCGGCAGGTGATGGTAGTGGTGCGAGGAGTTCCCGTGGTGCTGATTCGGATACTGGTATTGGATCTGGTTCTGGTTCTGGTTTTTCCCGCGACTCGGTATTGGCTCGCCTGACTGCACGTCTAAGAGGGAATAATTATGACCGTCGACGCTGTACCCGCGTCGCATCATAGCCACCCGCTCCACCTCTCCCCCTCCGCCACCGCCGCCGCCGCCGCTGGCGCCGCCGCCGCTTCCGCCACTGCCGCTGCCGAACCCTCCTAACCCACCCGCCCCCCCCCCGCGTGTCCCTCCCCATCCCCCATCCGATCTCCCCCGATCCACAACACCCCGGCGCTTAGGCTCCCGTCTCCGTTTCCGCCGTAGCTTCCGCCGTAGCTCGCCCCACCCGCCCCCCCGCCGCTGCGCCTGTGCGGCGCAGCGCCCCGATCGTGCGCGCACCAGGTCTGGGGTAAGAACCCGTAATGCCACGGCGTTTCCTTGGGGAAGTACATGTACCGCCCGAGTTGCACGTTCCCTTGCGCGTCCCACCCCTTCACCTCCTGCCTCCCCGCGAAGCCACGTGGCGTTTCGCAGACGAACGTCAACACGCCCGGCGCTTGCGCTGCGCCGAAGGGGTAAAGCGGCGGAGGCGGCGAGGGCGGCGAGGGCTCTTCCGCCAGGTGCTCCGCGAAAGACTCCCGCTGCAGCGGATGGGGCGGGGGAGGCCGCGGAAGCGGCGGGGTGGAGTGGACGATGGGCGCGGCGGAGGCGGAGCGGGGCATCCAGGCGGCGGAGCGGGCGGAAGGGGAAGGTATGGGGGAAGGGGAAGGGGAGGGGGAAGGCGAGGCGGACGCTGACGTGGATGCTGATGAGGACGATGGGGAGGGTGACGCCGTTAATAAGGGGATTGCTGGCGCAGCAGCAGCGGCGGCGGCGGCGGAATTAGCGGCTGTACCTAGACCTCCTCCCGATGCTGGTATTGCTGCTGGGGCCGACGTACGCGCCATTGTCTTAGCTTCTACAACAGAAGAGCCTGTTGCTGCGGACTTCGCAGCACCCATGGTCCCGTTTCCCGCCGCAGAAGCCATAGTTGCCGGCGAAGCGGCGGATCGTACTGCTGTACCTAGTATGCCGGCTGGTAGCTCGTCATCTCCCGCCATTTGCCGCTGAATGCCGCTCCTCGCTCCCCTTTTCCTGCTTCTCGCCCTCCCCTCTCCGGCTGTTCGTCCCTTCGACCCGTTCCCCCTTAACGCTCGTCGACTGTTTTTCTCCCACGATCGTTTCGCTACAGTTCGCTACCGTCGTCGTTCCCAAGCGAGTCGTTTCGGCTCGTTTGCCTTTCGCGCTCTGCGATTCGCCGTTTCGAAACGCCAGAGGAGGGATCGGTCGTCCGGATCCAGACCGCCGTCTCCCCTATGCGACTCGCCGCTTTGACAGCTACTACGAAAAGCGCCGCTTCTTCTCGTCGTGCCGGTTCCGCAACTATTCTGCATATCTTAGAGCACCTGCTGCTGACGAAGGGAGCGGCTCCTTATTGCCGTTCCTTTTCTAGGTCCTTCGGAATGGGAACGTGTAGGGCCAAGATGAAAAGAACGCACCAGAGTCACGAAAAACGGAGACTAGCAGCACGAGCTAGGTGGTATCGCAAGGGCCACGAATGGGTGGTATCGCAAGGGTGGTATCGCAAGGGCCACGAGCTAGGTGGTATCGCTAGGTGGTATCACAAAGGGCTAGCAGCACGTTCTATGACGAACCACAGGGAAGTGCTTTGCCCTAAAAACTCGTGCTGGAAGGAAAACTACTGGAGGTGGTGTGTGAGTCGTGAAGAATATGCGGCTGGCTTCTTTGCACCACATACGCCACGACGACGAGAGCACAAGAGCATGCCCGACCCCACATTGCCCAGGGGTAATCTTACCAGGGCAAAATACCCTAGTTCGCCTCTGGTGAGTAAAGTAATTTCAGCATTATTCTAGTGTATCCGGATGGATTAGACGAACTCGTTCGCTGTCATTTGATGCAGGATGTCGAAGACAACCTCTTGATGAACTTGCTTTAGGAACGCTGGGGCCCCAGTGCTCCTGATTACTTCGAATCATTACCCTGTGAAAAGACCGAATATGAGAACCAAACCCGGACCTCGCAACGCTGTCTCCCGTACAGGAAGGTCCAGAACCTTATTGTGAGGGTAAAAGACGAATAGAAAGGGTGGCAGAAGGCCCAAAGAATAGAGGCCTGCACACTGCACACATCCAACCCAGCACACTGTATTCCCATCTCCCCCACCCCCCTCAAACGGAACAATGACTCCCTGTTCCCCTCGTGTATGGTACTGTAGACCTCTCGGCTCGGGCAATTCGGGCCAACCAGGAAACAGAGAAAACTTTACTTGGGGCTGCCGTTTACCGACCAGGCTTAAACGCACTATACCGAAGCACACCTTTCGTCTGCACTCGTGAAACGCTCCCACACCAAAAACGGTCAGTCCTTGGAGACGAATTGAGATGGGGGTAATTATGTGGATGCAAGTCGGTCAATTTGTGGATGTGCTTGCTCTGCGCCAAATCATCAAAGAACTGCCTTTATTTCGTCCTTGTTTGGTGGCCCATTGTGAGTTTGCCGCCATTGCAGTCTACAGAAGGCAGGACGGCCGTAGAGACAGGAGGTATTTCAAAACGAAAAAAAAAATGATGTGAGAAGCGATACATGCTTTTAGGACAGTTCCAGCGACTTGTCAGACTCGAGTGTCATCTGGCTCTGGGGCAACCTGGCGTCTTCATAGTCAAACTGCGTGTCTTCCGACACTGACTTTGATCTGTGATGGTTGAATTGAGAATGCGACCCCATGGACAGTAGCACGAGGTGTAAGGGCCACAAACGAATTTTGTCGTATCCCAAACGAATTTAGCGAGTTCGCATCACCGTCAAAAATCGCCGACATTGGAGAAATCCAGAATCCAGTGTCTTCCTGCGTCTGACATCCAGTGTCGTCCTGCATCCAGTGTCTTCCTGCGTGTGACATCCGCGAGTGACACGAAGCAGGAACCTGTCCTTACAATGTGAATACGGCCTTCTAATTTAATGCAGTAATTTCCTACACCTGTGCTTCTAATGATGTATCTACAACCTACATGCAAAAAAGGTCCAACAAAGGTCCAACTGTTGTTTCTTATCACCATACAACACAAATGACACACCATCAAGCTATGATACCCCGCAACTCATATTTGTCAGCATGCTAGTAGGTTGAATGCGGAACCAAGCCATCCCCACTTGCCCCCGTTTCAAACTGCTAGCACCTAATTTTTCTTCGAGCCCCCCACCATCAACATCCGATCCAATCCACTAGCAACCCTCCCCTACCCACCTCATCTCGGCAAGCACAAAACCATACCCACATAAAGCCTCGAGTTGACACAAGGCCCGCCATTCATCGACACATAAAGCTGTGTCGACCGTCGATACTTCTTCCAGATTATAGCCGCGCACGTGTCCCCCCGCACGACAGTGTACTTGCCATAGAGGCACCGCGCCGCCCAGGGGAGATTAAGGCTTATGCAGAGCTGCTGCCCGCCCTTCAGGTTGTCGCAGATTAGGCCCGGGTTGACCTCTAGAAGATCGTCCACGGTCATACGGGCAAAGGCGGCCACGGACTGGCATGTGTCGTTGGGGGTGGTGGTGAAGAGAGATGGGCAGAAGGCAGCGGCTCGGCCTGGCCAGGGGAGACGTCCGGGGAGGAGGGAGTGGGTAGGGGATGGGAGACGGAAAATTGTAAGTCAGAAGGCGTAAGGATGTGAAAGGGTTCAAGGACTTGGTTCGGCAGAGGAGTTACGAGAAGATACGAGAGGGATGGAGCCATGGAGCCATGGAGCAATGGAGCAATGGTGGAAAACATGTGTTCGCTACCCGCCAACAGTGCACGTGGGTGAGCCATCGGGACAGACAGATGACAGGCCACATGGATGTGGGTGGCATGTCTTGTCTTTAAAGTTGACTCAAAAGACCTAGAATTGACTCCCGAGGGTCTTACGTACCAACAGTGCACGTGGGCGAGCCATCGGGACGGATGACAGGCCACGTGGACGTGGGGCAGTCGCAGGAGTATGTGCCGTCGCCCACATTGGTGCACTCGCCCACACCACACGGGTTGAAGGCCGAGGAGAAACAGGCGTCGACTGGGGTGAGGAGGAGCGGGGGAGAGTGGGAGAGAGTGGGGGGGAATGGGAAATAGTGGGGAAAGTAGCATGCTTTTGAGTCGACTCAAAGAAAGTGAGTGGGAGAGATAGCAGCGAAGGGACGTGAGACCAGCGAATGGCTTTGAGGAAAAGGGCGATGAGAAGGAGGAGTGGGGGGGAAATCAAAGATTCAGCGGTGAGGAATGCGTCGACGGGCGTGAAATGTGCCAGCAGCAGCAGCAGAAGCAGCAGCAGAGGCAGCAGCAAGACGAGAAATTGGCGTACCTGGCACACAAGTCTGGGACTTGTCAGTGTTTTCCACGACAGCGTAGCCGTCAGGGCAGCTGGCACAGCGGTAGCCGCCCTTGCTCTTCCTCTTGCTGTCCACCACACACTCGCCTGCACCGCATGGGTTGGGGTCGTCACATGGCGACGCGCCTGGGGGAAAAGGGTGAGAAGGTGGGAGAGGAGAAGAGGAGGAGAGGAGAGGAGGGTAGGAGAGGAGAGGAGGGGTGAGGAGAGGAGAGGAGAGGAGAGGAGGAAAGGGAAGGAAGGAGGTGGGGGAGGGGGAGGAAAGGAGAAAAGTGATGAGTGAAAAGGAGCTGGAGTTGGAAGTCAGAACAAAAGCCGGCAGCACGAGCAATGCATGAGCATGAGCATGAGCATGAGCATGAGCATGAGCATGAGCATGAGCATGAGCATGGGCATGGGCATGAGCATGAGCATGAGCATGAGCATGAGCATCAGCATGAGCATGAGCATCAGCACGAGCATGAGCATGAGCATGAGCATGAGCATGAGCATGAGCATGAGCATGAGCATGAGCATGAGCATGAGCATGAGCATGAGCATAAGCATGAGCATGAGCATGAGCATGAGCATGAGCATGAGCATGAGCATGAGCATAAGCATGAGCATAAGCATGAGCTTTAGCATGAGCATGAGCATGAGCATGAGCATGAGCATCAGCATGTCCAATGATGTTGCATCATGCTCTACAGTGCGTGCAATCCAACCCCTACTCTTGGTGAAAGGACAACTCACTGGCGGTGACAGGGTAGAAGCCCTGCATGCTGGTGATGCCGCAGGTGCCGCGGCCCCCGACGCGCGCCATGCGCATGTACCCCTCCTCGCCCCACGCGTCGCCCCAGGTGTTGCGGATCACCCAGTACGGCGTGCCCGTGTCATCGTCCGTGCCATATCCCACCACCAGGACCGAGTGGTCCAGTAGCCCATTGTCGCACAGGGGGTCGGAGTAGACACCCTGAGAGAGAGGGGGCGGATGGAGGAGGGGAGAAGGGGTGAGGGAGGGGGATTGTAAGGAGATATTGTGGGACGTGGCAGTCTCCCTGTCCGTGTCATACCCCACCACCAGCACCACCACCAGCACCACCACCAGCACCAGGGGGTCTGAGTAGATACCCTGAGAGTTGTGAGTCTGCGGGGGGGAAGGGGGTTTGAGGTGCCTCAAAGACCAGCAGCACGGAGTGATTCAGCAAGAGTACACTAGAAGCTGGTTATTCACCAGCACAATGATTCACAGGTGATTTTTGAGTCGACTAAAAAATCAAGCTGGTTATTCAGCAGCACAATGATTCCCTGCAACACGGCACGGCACACACAGCACAGCACGCACGGCGCCGCACAGCACGGCACGGCAAAGCACAATGCCAGGGGTCCAGGGACTCACCCCGGTGTAGGCGAGGAAGGAGGGCACGCGTGACTGGATGTTGACCACCACTGGCTGGGCCGCCACTGCCGCCAGCAGCGCATCCTCACTCGCAGGCACCATCTCGTAGCGCACCACGGGGGGCGTTTGCTGAGGGGGTACAAGGGGGGAGATGGGGGGAGATGGGGGGAGATGGGGGGGAAGGAGAGAGGGGCAGAAGATGAGCTATCTCACCCACCACGCCAGGAGGAAGATTTTCAAGTGCGCCTGGAGGCTCAACTGCCTAAGAAATGGCAGAGCTATAGATAGAAGTTATGCACGGAAATAGATGGCGGGGATGTGTCATGCGCAAAGCATGCATGAAACCGAAATTGGAGTCACTCCACTCCCACCCCCACCCCCACCCCACCCTCAACACCCCCACCCGCACCAACCCCAAGCCCCCCCCCCCCCCCCCTGGGCTTCCCCCCGCTCCCTTTGGCACCAGTTTACATACCCATGCTCCCCATCCGTTGCTGCCGGTACCAGCACCAGCAGCAGGACCACCACTCCAGGCAGGAGAACCCCCAGCAGCACCATCAGCAGCAGCAGCAGCGGGGGCGGGGGCGGTGCACTGGGCGGTGCTGTTCTCCCCAACGAACGGGTACTGCTTCTCCAGCTGCAGGCGCCCCACGGCCGCCACGTACTCCAACGCATCCCCCGGCCACCCGGGCCGGCAGATAGAGAGTAGGTTGTCCAGATTGTCCGAAGCTGCAGGATCCGAGCCTGAGCCCAGCCCCGTTGCTGCCGTGGAATCCACAGTCGAATCTCCACTGGTAGAAGAAGCAGGATCCGAGGCGGTGCCAGCAGCAGCAGCAGCAGTGGCAGTGGCAGGGTTGTTGTAGTTGTACCCGCCGATAGTCGCGGCCGAAACGGCAGGCGTCTGCGTGCAGTCGGCAACCTGCTGCACCGAGAACCGCCGCCTCGCACGGTACCCGTACGACCGTGCATTAGAACCAGAGTTAGCCACAGCGATTGCGACTGCTGCCTCCACGGCGGCGGTGGTGGCAAAGGCCCAGCAGACTCCGCACACGCCCTGGTCGCGGATGGGAGTGAGAACGCCCTCCCAGCGCCAGTCGACGCCGTCCGGGAGGGACGTGATGAGCGACGAGTAGCGCGAGAAGCGGTTGAGGCGCGAGGGGGTTGTGTCTGCTGCGAACGGTTGTGTTCCGCCCACCTTGTCCTCTGCGAGTGGGGGATTGGAGAGGGAACGGGGTGGGGGGAAGCGAGGGGGAACGGGGAGGAGGGGGGAGCAGGGAGCGGAGGGGTAGGGAAGTGAGACAAAACGGTTGAGAGAGTGAAAGATTTGTTTAGGGCAGAAGAAAAAGCGAGAGCGAGCAAGGTTGACTGACCCCAATCCTGGAAATCCCCCCCAACTCTCCGAACCCCCCTGAATTCTCCGAACTCCCCAGCCTCCTGAAGGCAGATCAAACAGCGTGCGTTCTCAAACTCAACCCCTACTCACCCATGGAGGGCACAGAGATGACAGTGCCGTTGAGTCGACTCAAAAGCTGAAGCCACCACATCAAACACCTTCCGATCTCAATCTCAACCCCAACCCCTCCTCACCCATGGAGGGCACAGAGATGACGGTGCCATTGAGTCGACTCAAAAGCTGAAGCCACCACATCAAACACCTTCCGATCTCAATCTCAACCCCAACCCCTCCTCACCCATGGAGGGCACACTGATAACGGTTCCGTTGCACGTGGTGTTGTACGCCCCGTCGCACACCTTGGCCGCATCGTTGAAAATCAGTCCGGCTGGGCACCGCTGCAGCGCCGTCTGCCGCCCCCCCGCACAGATACAGTACCGGCTGCAGTCAGACGCATCCTGGAAATACCCGTCCGGACGGCCATCGCAGCATGTGCCGGGGGGAGGCGGAGAGGGAGGAGGAGAGGGCGTGGGAGGGGGGGAGGGCGAGGGAGGGGGGGAAGGGAAGGGAGAGGGCGAGGAAGGGGGAGCGGGGGAGGGTGTAGGACCGCCACCATTCCCATCCCCACCACCCCCACCGCCACCGTTGCCACCGTCGCTGCTGTCGGTTGCAGCACAGAGGACTTTCCCAGGGGCGTCGCATGCCTTGGCGTTGTCGTTGAAGAGGAGTGGCGCGGGGCACTGCAGGCGCGCGACTACTTGCCCCCGCAGACAGATGCAGAAGGCGCTGAGACGCGGGGGAGGGGGGGGAAAGGAAGGGAAAAGGGGTGGGGAGGGGAGGGGGAAGGGAGGGAAGGGAGATATTGCAGCAGTCAGAGAGGATTTGACAGGGCTCGTGTCGACGACACAATGAGCGAAAACGAGAACCAAGAGAAAGAGACAGGCGAGGGGAGGAGAGGAGAGAAGAGCACGTGTGTGTAAGAGTGTGTGTGTGAGAGAGAGTGAGTGTGTGTGTGTGTGAGAGAGAGAGAGAGTGAGTATGTGTGTGTGTGTGTGCGCGCGCATGTGCCTGCAATGCAAGGCATACCTGCAGTCGGCCGGGTCTTGCCAGTAGCCATTGGGCTTCTTGGTGCAGCATGTCACAGGAGGGCCACCAGTGCTGCCACCACCGGCACTGCTGCCGGTGCTGCCGGTGTTGCCAGTGCTGCCGGTGCTGCCCGTGCTACCACCACTCCCTGTGTTACCACCAACCCCCGTGCTGCCACCGCTGCCACTGCTTCCACCACTATTGCCACCGTTGTTCCCATTGCCATTGCCATTGCCATTGCCATTGCCATTGCCATTCCCATTCCCGTTCCCATTACCCCTGCCGCGCCCGGGGCCAAAGCCAAACTGGAAGCCCCCACCCAGGGCTGCAGCAGTGGTGAACAGATTAGAGGACGAGGAGGAGGAGGGCTCTGGGCCAGAGTCAAAGGACGACGCAACCGATGCCGTGGGAAGGGAGGAGGAGGAGGAGGAGGAGGTTGCTTCTGAAGCAGACGCTGACGTGGACGCTGACGTGGACGCTTGCGTGGCTGATGCTGACGTGTCCGCAACGGGGCAGTCGACTAGGAAGGCGTACTGGCACGTCTTGGACTCCTCGCTGAACCGCATGCCCGCGCCGCAGCTCACCGTGCTCTTCACACGCTCGCTCAGACAGAAGACGAACCGGCTGGGGGGAGGAGAAGAGGGGTATAGTATAGAGGGAGGAGAGAGGGGAGAGAAGTGGGGTCAGAAGGAGACAGCTGAGCGAGCCGTAGCTCACCGCGCTCTTCACACGCCCGCTCAGACAGAACACGAACCGGCTGGCGAGGTGAAAGGAATCGCAAAGTGGGGGGGGAAAGGGGGGGAAAGGGGGGGAGGGGGAGGAGATTTGGGAGGGGAAAGAAGCGCAAGGAATCTGCTTTTGAGGCGTCTGAAACGCAGCTCACAACCGTGCTCTTCACACGCCCGCTCAGACAGAAGACGAACCGGCTGAGGAGGGGGGGAGGAGATGGGGGGGGTGTGAAGGCAAGGGCAGGAGAGAGGGGAGAGTAGAGGGGTCAGAGAGAGTCAAGGAGGGGCCCGCAGCTCACGGTGCTCTCATAGCCGCTCAGGCAGAAAATGAACCGGCTGGCGGTGTCAGAGGGGGGAAGGCGAGCGGCGCACAGAGGGAAGGAGACGGCAGGAGAGGGCAGGAGACGGAACGACGCCTCCATATCCTAATCCTTGTGCTCTCTATCGGCTCTCATCGTCTCACCTGCAGTCGTCTGGGTGCTGGTGAAAGCCGTCCGTGAGCCCCGCACACAGCGACGCCTCCCCCCCGCTACCCGATCCCGAACCAGAACCAGAGCCAGAGCCATGGTCCGACTCTGTGCCAGAACGCGACTCTGCCTCGCTTCCGTGTTTCTTCCCGCCCGACGAATCACTCCCGTTATGCGCATCCGCGTTATTGTCATCACGGTCGTGGCCGCCTTTGCTGGGAGCCGGCGCGGCGGCGGACTGCGGCGCAGTCGCGGAAGCAGCGCCAGCGCCAGCGGCGGGGGCGGGGGCGGAAGCGGGGATGCCGGTCCCCGGGCATGCGACGGCGCTGTCGTTACGGCACGTCTTGGTACGCGCGTCGAAGGCGTAACCCAATGGACAGAAGAACACGCGGCCGCGCGAGTCGCCGTCGGTGCAGAGGCAGAAGCGCCTGCAGGGAAGAGAAAGGGAGAAGGATGAGGCTGAGGATCTCATAGGGAAGGAAGGGAGAGAAGAAGACGCCCCGGCGTGAATCGTTATCTGTGCACAGGCAAAAGCGCCTGCAGGGCAAAAGCGCCTGCAGGGAAGAAGCGCCTGCAGCCGACGTGAGCTGCAAAGCAAGCGACGCCGAGGAGACGCACCTGCAGTCCGTGGGGTGGCGGTGGAACCCGTCCGTCTGCCCCGCGCAGCAGGGGTCCGCTGCCTCCCGCCACGCCAGGCCGCGCGGAGCCATGCTACCGAGGCAGCTCGCGAGGAGGAGCAGAACGAGCGGGAGGGACGCGGGGAAGGACGCGGGGAATCTAAACTTAGTGGATTTCCGGGCGAACCGGCCACCTGGGGACGCCTCGAACATGACGCGAGCAGTATTGGTAGTATTGATGGTACGACCACTGGCAGCACGACTGCAATGAGCTGCTGCCGATCCTATCCTGCTCGGGCTTGTTACAGCCATTCTCCTGCTGCCGTTGCTGCCGGTACTGCCGGTACTGCTTATTCGGGCTTCTGCCGGACGAGTATTTGGACGGACGGTCCGACGTTGCGAGAGGACGCGTGTGCTGATGGAAGGTGGAACCAGTCTCGTCCGAGCTGGCACGATGTACACTGGAAATGCTCGGGAGGGCCTTTCCTCAGGGAAAAAAAATGGTGCTGCGTTGAAAGGCGATCGGCGGATCTGCGACGAAAGGAGATTACGCGGCGAGTGGCGAAATGGTGGTGTGTTGACGGCTCGATCGCGGCAGCTCCCAATTGACGTTCCTGCTGCGAAGATCCTCTATCCGACCCTCTATCAGGTCCTCGTGTTCCGAGTTTCACGACGATTATTGTCCCACGGCGTTGCACGATGTCACGCCCGCACAGGGATCGCCCGACAGGTTCGACCAGGTCTCGCTTTATTTTGCAGTGGGTTTCTCATTTGCGCGCTAATGCCTATTAGTAGGAGGTCCCGCTAGCGCACTCCGACGTACTGGCGTAATCGCAGGTAGCAAGGAAAAGCTACAATGGGAGGGCGAGGGGGGGAATGCAGGAGTACGGGGGGGAGAGAATGAGTGTGAAGAGGTCCTAGTAACGGCGGAAGAGAGGAAAAGGCGGCAGAGGAAGAGAGAAATGCGAGTATGGACCCGCAGAGTGTAGGTTTCAAGAGGTGTCGATTCGGGTTGAGTTCGCAGAGGAGGGATCCGCCTTGTTGATGGGCGAGGGGAAATCGGCACTGAAGAGAGGACAAATGAGCCCCCTGTAGCCTAGGGACGGGAGTTGGTGAGGCAAGGTGAATTAGTGAGCGGCTGCCAGGCACATGTAGAAAGATACTGACAAGTGAGCGCAACCGCCTGCACATGTACGCACTCCATCTAGTAGGTGCGGCTATATTTAGGGGGCGGTTTGGGGGGGTTGGGCTGGGTTGGGGGGAAAAGAATTGGGGGAGCCATGCGAGGGGGCTAGGCGCTACAGTAGGGTCGACAACAATCGCTCAGCCTGGGCAATGGAGAGAAAATTCGAGGCGAGGGGAGGGCCGGGAGAAAAAAGCCGACGCGGCGCGGGCTGACCGTCTTGAAAATCGTTGTGTCGCCTCACCTGACCTGAAGCGATGTGCTCATTGTCGCGGATATGCTGCAGAGACTGAAGATTTCCTTCCACGTCGGACAAGACGGAACGGTGGTGGTCGGTTCGCTTTGTGGTTCGCCGTTTCGGCGCAGTTTTTTCACGCTGCCCAAAAACCAAGTGCCGCCCCGCGCTTCAAGAAGCTCGTGTCAAGGACTTTGTCAAACAAGTGAAGCCGATGATGTGGCAATTTCCACGGGCAATAGCTTGACATCGGTTTGTCCCTCAGATAAGGAAACACGCTTTTACCTTTCCTCCCTGACCTAGTGTTGCAAAGCAATGCTGCTCAAGTGCCACCCATTACTGTAGCTGTTCTTGTACGTGTAGTGCTGGCCGAAAGAAAGAAAAACAGGCTTCTGGGCCCCCAACATTCGTCGCACAACGTCAACGTGCGCATCATCCATAGCAGCGATGATGCCTCCTGACCTTTAGATAAACGGTAGTCGTTAGAATTCCTAAATTCTGCGTCTTTTTGCTGGTGGTTAGATTTCAGTCCCCGACTTTCAACGCAAACCTCACAAATTTCCAGCGCAACTAACGAAACCCAGGTGGTCTCACGATAACCAGAATTCGCAGAAGATATAACCAATGTTAACACTACACGAAATCCATCTTACGTACAGTTAGACAATATTTCCGTGACAATGCGTAACAAGCAAGACACTATTTTTGTGTAACAAGCAAGAAAATCCGCAAGCATGTAGAGTTTAAATTTTACAAATTGTAGTGCTAGCTAACAACACATCACATTTTATGAGCCACCCCTCTGTCCGCCCACTTCAGAAGCAGACTTGGCAGCCTCAGCAGCGCCCTGAACAGTCCTCCTGCCAAGTGCATCCACCGTCTCCCTCCTCTCCTCTGCATTGGGAGGAGGTGCACCCGCCAGTCCCCTGGCAGTTTCTGCAGCACGACCCACACCTTCTTTGCCCATGTCAGCAACCTTGGATGCCATCTCACCCACCCCCTTGGCTGCATCCGCGACCATATGCCCTGCTTGCTTCAGCTTCCCACTCATACCCTCCGCCTGGGGAGAGAATTCACGAGCAGCCGAATAAGTGTCAATACATGGACACAGGAAACAAGCACCCCCCAAAATTGCACAAATTATTAAAACCATGATGGATAATAAAGCACACCTTGTAAATATCAGCAGCGTCTTCATACGCTCTTTCATAGCCTGCCTCCTTCGCAGCCTTGGCCTTGTCCTCTGCTCCCTCCTGAATCGTGGTACCCTTATCCGGCCATTCACGATGCTTAAGCTCTTCCTTCATTGCTTCCTTGCTTCCCTGAAAACATCAAACACAGAGAGGGGACCGAACACTGTCCACAGGTTGGCACTTCCATCCCCCTGACTATCATTATCTCACTGTGGAATCAACCCCCCATAGTCCCACACAGGCCAGGCATACTAACGCGTTCTATTGGAAAAAAACCAAATATCCATCAACTGCTCTCACCTGGCCGCCAAGGGTGGTCATCTGCCGCCACATGGCAATGCCTGACATGCGGGTCGCAATAAAACCAGGATCGACATTTGGAGCAGATGAACGACACAGCAGGCGCAGGGAGGAAATTTTACAAGCCATCTTGTCTCCGAGGTAAGTCGGTAGGAAAATAAGAACCTGCAGATCAGCAAGCCGAAATAGTAAAAACGGCATTCTTGGCCCAGAAAAACGGAAACAAAAGGGCAACACAAAATGCTCACACCTTCAACCTGGTTGGATTCGTTGCTAAGAGGCCTTACACGGAAGAGAAAGATCGGAGAGCGGCGTTCCCTCGGAAAGAAGGGCGAACAGGCGCACGAGACTCGAACGACGAAGCTTGCTCACGAGCCACGGAATATAGCTCTGGGAAGCAGATCAGGCACGCGAGAAAAGTGCGAGGAGAGTGCGGATGCGTTCGCCAAGCTAGTAGCAGCCTCTGCGGTCGCTGCTCGAACACCCGCGCCGTGCGCCTCAAGCAACAGCTCTCGTTGTTCTGCCACGTGGCCACCAGACGTGCGCATGCTGAGTGAGGTTAACCATCCTCGAACCTTCTTCGTTGCCCACACCGTCGTTCTAGCTTTACGCGTGATCAGAGCACTGTGAGGCGTGAAAGGGTGATCGAGAATTGAAGACCAAGCTGGAGGCGCCAGGAATGTCACACATGTGGCTCATGCAATCCACTTCTCAGGATTGACGGCCTCTATCTGCATAAGAGATGGTCGTTGTGAAATTTGCGGAGATATAACGTTGCCACATGGCTTAACTGTCTATGTAAGTTTATTGGTGAACTAATTTACCTTCAGAAATGTGCTTAAACATTTAGTCTAACGATAGAGGAATATTCAAAGAAGGTATACAGAGGTAATTTATTAGTGATACTACTTGTGATGCTATTTTATTGAATGAATTTCCATGTAATTACAATTGAATTGATAGAAGTACTCTAATTTTGCGGATGGAATGGAAACCTTGAAATTATACGTTAGAATACAACCTGATCGGGAGGTCCATATCCGCCTCTCATGTTCAAAACTTGTTACAGCCTCGTAATCAGGTAGCTCTTCGGTCTTGTTCGCAGACAGGTGAGACTCCCTTTGATCATCCCTTCTACATTCTTCGTCAGCCATCGCCAAGCACACCAGACCTTGGAAACTTCGCCATGAAACAAACAAGCCTGCCAGCACAGAACCACAGGGACCTGACCAACCAGACCACCATTCCCCCGCCGTTCGTTCTCCCTCATCAGTTCGTTATTCCTGGAGCTTTTTGTCAGGTGCTTGTGCCTGCGTGGATTCTGTTAGCGCTCCTGTTCCTGTGCCATAGTGAACTTGCTTCTCGATCGCGAGCCAGAGATGCTGGAGCACCAGCGGTATTGGGTCCCCACCACCACTGTCTGACCATGCCGCCTGCTGCCCTCGTTGCATCCAAAGCTGCCTCTGTGCCCTTCGCGTCCTCTTCCGCATCGCCTTCCGCTTCATCCCCGTCATCGTCAACTCGCATTCTAGCGTCTTCGGCATCGTTCGTCTGCCTGCCTTCGACCAGCACCAGCCCCTTAGCCGTTGCTCCTAGTCTATCCCGGGTGCATCCGCTCCCTCATCCCACTGCCCTTACCCGAACCCGCCGAAGGCTCTGCGAGTCGGAGATTAATCTTCCTGACCGCGCTTCGCATAGTCAGTCGGTACATCGGAGCCCATTCCTAAGGCCACCGCCGTCACTTACCTCGCTTCAGTCTCGGCATTTAATATCCAAATCGTGGACTCGTTCCCAGGCCCAGATTCCACCGACTAGCTGCCAGTCCGACCCCCCCAGATCACATAGTAAGTCCAGATCCGGCGGCCGATCAATCCAGCACAGCACATCGCCTACTAAAGTCAGTAGTACAGAGCACGCAGCCGCGATGCACGGAGCAGCAGCGGGTGCCGCTCAGCCGTCCGCCGCTACCGCCGCTTCCGCCTCTCTGTCCGCGCTATCATCTGGTGGAAGCGCGCACGCCGCTGCGCAGTCTTCTGCCGGATTGGCCGCCGCGGAATCCGGTGGCGCTGCGGACGTCCCGATTGCAGCATCGGCGGCGCACGGCGGCGCGACGGCGACGGCAACGGCCGGCACGGCAGGCGAGGCGGCGGCGGCGGGAACCGGCAGCAGCGCGGTTGTTGCGGCGTTTCTCGCGGGGCTGATGCCGAAAGAGGAGATCGGCGCGCAGCGCTTCCTGCAGTCGCACCCTCATGCTGACGGGCGCGGGGTGGTCGTGGCTATTTTCGGTAGGTGGTTTGGGGTCTCTAAATATGAGAACAGCAAACGCCTTTATGTCCAATCGAGGGTTCGTAGCGCACGCCGCTGGTTTCACCCTGGTTTGCCCGCCGAAGGCACGCTTTGTGAAGAGATTGACCTCACGAAGGCATCTTGAAGACACCTTCGAGTGTAAAACCAGCAATGCAAACCCAGCAATGCAAGCCCAGCAGTGCAAACCCAGCAGTGCAAACCCAGCAGTGCAAGCCCAGCAGTGCAAGCCCAGCAGTGCAAACCCAGCAGTGCAAACCCAGCAGTGCAAACCCAGGAGTGCAAACCCAGCAGTGCAAGCCCAGCAGTGCAAACCCAGCAGTGCAAACCCAGCAGTGCAAACCCAGCAGTGCAAACCCAGCAGTGCAAGCCCAGCAGTGCAAACCCAGCAGTGCAAACCCAGCAGTGCAAACCCAGCAGTGCAAGCCCAGCAGTGCAAACCCAGTAGTGCAAACCCAGCAGTGCAAACCCAGCAGTGCAAACCCAGCAGTGCAAACCCAGCAATGCAAACCCAGCTTTTGAAACGCATTCAAGTCACCACTCAGCGCGCAGCCAGCTTTTCTTGTTGTTCACATGGCCGACCCACTCCTCCTCTCGTCCTCCGCCCCTGCTCCGTCTCCCTCACTCTTCCCCCCTCTCCGCGTCCCCCCTTCATGCTCCCCTTCCCCCTGCCTCGCCCTTCCCTTCTCCACTTTCCTCCCGTCTGCTCATCCCCCTCCTGCACCACCCCTCGCACCTCTCTCGTTCCACTCTCTCGTTCCACTCCACGTGTAACAGACTCGGGAGTGGACCCTGGAGCATCGGGGCTGCAGGTCACGTCGGATGCCAAGCCAAAGATCCTCGATGTTGTCGACTGGTACGATCGTGGGCTGGCCTGCTGCTCACTGCTGCTCACTGCTGCTCACTGCTGCTCCCTGCTGCTCACTGCTGCTCACTGCTGCTCACGCCTTGTCTTGCCTTGCCTTGCTAATAGTACGCCGTACTGATATTATTACTCCCTACCTTCGTGCGCTCTCGTTGAGCTGAGCTCATCAGTCTGTTGCATTCGCGAGTTGCCGTGCCGCTTATCAGGCTAGGAACGTGCCTGGCCTGGCCTGGCCTGGCCTGGCCTGGCGGCACTTTCCTGGTAAGCGCCTCCCCAGGAAGGTGCTGAAAGGCCAGGCCAGGCAATTCGTCGCCTCGTTAGCAAGCGTTTCAGCACTTCGTTTCGTGAGCTCATTTTCTCCCCTCACTCCTGTGACTTGCCTTCGTCAGCCACCTGGCCTGGCCTGTCTCTCGCCCGTCTGTTCCTGTGCAGCCCAAAGAATCATTCTCCGCTCCTCTCTGTTCTTGACATGAGCCGCCATTGACAATCTGGTTCCAGGCGTCTAAAATCCCCCCGATTTGCGTCCCAACCTGTCGTCTTTGCTCTCCCCTCTGTGTGCTGTGTGCGAGCAGCACGGGCAGTGGCGATGTGGACATGAGCACTGTGGTCAAGGCGGACAAAGACGGCTACATCACAGCAGCTTCAGGTGCCCTCCCAGCCTCAGGTGCCCTCCCGGCCTGAGGTGCCCTCCTGGCCTCAGGTGCCCTCCCGGCCTCAGGTGCCCTCCTGGCCTCAGGTGCCCTCCCGGCCTCAGGTGGCCTTCCAGCCTCAGGTGCCCTCCCGGCCTCAGGTGGCCTTCCAGCTTCAGGTGCCCCAGCCACGCCAGCTTCAGGTGCCCTTTCAGCTTCAGGTGCCCTCTCAGCCAGGAGCATTGCTTTCACCCATGTGTGTGCCTCGCTCTACATCCATCCATTCTGCTGTGGACACTGGGCTGGACAGCACTGTTAAGCAGGGCAAAAGGATACATCTCCCCCTCCTCGTTGCAACCTTAGGCGCAATCATTCCAATCATCGTAACTGACCAGGACTCCCCTCACGCTGCCTCTGTTGCTCCCCGTTCCCCTCCATCCCCCCGTTTCCCCCATTCTCCCCGTTCCCCCCGTTCCCCCCGTTCCCCCCGTTCCCCCCGTTCCCCCCGTTCCCCCCGTTCCCCCCGTTCCCCCCGTTCTCCCCGTTCTCCCCGTTCCCCCCGTTCTCCCCATTCCCCCCGTTCCCCCTGTTCCGTCCTCCCGTGCGTCCTGCGCTATCCAGGAGCGCGGGTGCAGGTGAACGGGGCATGGAGCAACCCGTCGGGGGAGTGGCGTGTGGGCAGCAAGCCGCTGTTCCACGTGCTCAATGAGTCCGTGCTGGACCGGGTCAAGGTGCGTGGGGAGGAGGAGTCATTCATGGCGGCGGGTGAAGGTGTGTGGGATGGTGTATTGTGTGAGTCGACTCCACGGACGCAAGCCGCTGTGACGAGTGAAGGTGCGGGCAAGGAAAGGAAAGGAGTCAAAATGCGTGGTAAGGAGTCAATGGATGCTTGGGATTCGATACTTGTGTTGTGTCACCTGTCTAGGTGTGCCTTCCTCCCTCCCCACACAATGCGCTTTCTCTCTTGCCCTGTCTCCTGCTGTGCCTCACCTCCCTCCCTGTCGTTTCCCTTTCTCCCTTGTGCCCATGTGCCCATGTGCCCTTGTGCCCATGTGCCCATGTGCCCATGTGCCCTTGTGCCCTTGTGCCCTTGTGCCCATGTGCCCATGTGCCCATGTGCCCATGTGCCCTTGTGCCCTTGTGCCCATTTGCCCATGTGCCCTTGTGCCCATGTGCCCATGTGCCCTTGTGCCCATGTGCCCATGTGCCCATGTGCTCATGTGCCCATGTGCCCTTGTGCCCTTGTGTCCATGTGCCCATGTGCCCATGTGCCCATGTGCCCATGTGCCGATGTGCCCTTGTGCCCATGTGCCCATGTGCCCATGTGCCCTTGTGCCCTTGTGGCCATGTGCCCATGTGCCCATGTGCCCATGTGCCCATGTGCCCTTGTGCCCTTGTGCCCATGTGCCCTTGTGCCCATGTGCCCATGTGCCCATGTGCCCTTGTGCCCATGTGCCCATGTGCCCATGTGCCCTTGTGCCCATGTGCCCATGTGCCCATGTGCCCATGCGCCCATGTGCCCATGTGCCCATGTGCCCATGTGCCCATGCGCCCATGTGCCCATGTGCCCTTGTTGCCATGCCATCCCTTCCATGACCCCTCCTCTCCTTTCTCCCCCCCCTCCTCCCCACCCGCTCCCAACGCGACCCTTGGGGGTCATTCTTGCCTTCATGCATCCGTCTGCGGCGCGTGTTACCACCCACCGTAACAGAAGGACCGCCGCAAGAAGTGGGACGCAAAGCAGCAGGCACTGGTCACCCAGGCTCTGCGCCAGATGGCGGAGTTTGATTCGGTGAGCGCACCTCAGTAACAAAGCAAAAACTGGGGGCGAAAAACTGGGAGGGGGCAATGGAAAGGAGAGATAAATGGGGGAGGGGCAAGTGGGTGGATTCGGTTAAACAGGAGTGGGAGGGGGAGGAGTGGAGAGAGATGTTGGGCAGAGGATGGCAAGGGATGAAAAGCGGGGCATGGCTGCCTTGCGCTGCTGGGGATGCATGCATGGGTTCAGATCAGACTGGAGAGTCTGAAAGTGGAGTCTGTGTTGGGATGGGCTGCTGCTCGTTCTGCTCGCTCACTACTCTTCGTTTCCGATCTTCGCATTCTTGATGTGTGCATGTGCTTGCTTGTAACACGGGCTTGCTGCATGTGTGTGTGTGAGAGAAAGAGTGTATATGAGTGTGCTGCGTGCATACATGCGTGCATGCACGTTCGTGTGGACGCACATGGACATTGCCTGTGTGCATGGATGTGCATGGTTTATGCATGGGAAAATCTGCATGTGCGCATACTCATGCGCATATGTCTGTCTGTGCATGCGGACACAGCAGAAGTCATCCAATGCCAAGGACGAAGCAGGCAAGAAGGAGAAGGAGGAGCTCCAAGCACGACTGGACTTGTTGCAGTCCATGCAAGACGTGAGTAGACCGGAGAGGGGGGGGGGGAGAGGGTGCGAGGCAGGGGGCGGTGGGGGGGGGGGAGAGACGGGGAGGGGAGAGAGTCATAGCTGTGAGTGCTGTCTGTAGCTGACAGCTTGTGTAGGAAGGAGCTTCCGGTTTGATTGATCCTGCTGCGTGCCATTTCAGTCGTGGTGCTGTGCACTGGAAGGGGCTACTACTGTTTGCGCTCGTGCTGATTTTCAATCGTCCTTTGCCCTGAGCTCTCCCCCTCAGTCGTACAAGGACACGGGTCCGCTGATAGACGCAGTGGTGTGGCATGACGGCAACACATGAGGAGTCTATTTTTGAGGCGCCTCAAGAATATCTCTCTTTGGCCCCTCTCTTTCCCCCCTCAGTCGTACGAGGACATGGGTCCACTGATAGACGCAGTGGTGTGGCATGACGGCAACACATGGCGCGCAGCTCTCGATACCACCGACCTCTATGCCGACGCCAATGGTCACACCGCTGCTGATGCCGATGCTGCTGCTGGCGTTACCGGTGCTGTTGGGAAGGAGGAAGCGGGGGCTAAGCCTGCTGCTGTGCCTGGTCGCTTGGCTGATTTCACCCCAATGACCAACTACAGGTGAGTGTGCATGCCTGCCTTTGTCTGCTCTGCATTCTACAGCTCAGTGTACTGCTCCTGAAGCCTTTTCAACGTGCACCATCCCCCCCCGCCCCCCTTTTTCCCTTCCCCTTCCCCCCCTTTCCCCAAACCCGGCACCCACCCGCCAGCCCCCAGCCCCCCCCCTCTTCCAGTCTCACCTTTTTCCTTGAACTGTTTTTCTAGCATTTTCAAGAGCAATTTCCATGAGCCTTCTCCGTCCCCCTATCCCCTGTCCCACCCACCCACCCACCCACCCACCCCGCCTCCCCTCTGCCCACCCTCCAGGTTGGAGCGGCAGCATGCGATGTTCAGTCCCATGGATGCGTGTGGGTTCGCAGTGAACATCTACGACGAGGGCCGTGTGCTCTCCATTGTCACCGACGCCAGTGCCCATGGCACGCACGTCGCTGGCATTGTCGCTGCGTGCCACCCTGAGGTGAGTTTCTGTTGTTCTGTTGCTGCTGCTGTTGCTGCTGCTGTTGCTGCTGTTGCTGCTGTTGCTGCTGCTGTTGCTGCTGCTTCTGTTGCTGTTGCTGCTGCTATTGCTGTTGCTGTTGTCGTTGCTGCTGTTGGGTTCTTTGGCGGGGCTGAGGAGGGAGGGAGGAGGGGCATGGTTGGGTGAGAATGGTGTGGGAGATAGAGGTTGGGTTGGGTGAGGGCAATGTGGGTGATGGGGTGGTCGTTGGCTGCTGAGGCCCTGCTCGAAGATTGCACCCTTACGGGACACCTCATTCCGTACTTCAATCTTTCTCAAACAACCCCTTCCTCGCCACCTGTATCCCCCGCTTTTTGCAACCCTCGTTTCCTCCCCCCCCCCCTGTCATCCTGTTTTTTGTCTCTCTTTGCCCCTATGCTCTTCTCTACCATCCCCTCTCCCTCCTGTCTTCCCTTTCTACTATCCCCTCATTGTTCTCTCGTCTCCAATACTCTTTCCTCCTTGCCTCCCCGCCCCCCATCTCTCCTCTTGCCACTCCCCACTCTTCCCTCTCCGCTCTCGTCTCTCCGCACTCCTCTCCCAATGGCTCGGCTCCTTTCTCTCAACCCCAGGCGCCGGAGCTGAATGGCATAGCGTCAGGTGCGCAGCTGGTGTCGTGTAAGGTTGAAATCTCTCACACTTCTGTATTCTTTCCTCTCCATCCTCCCCTCTTCTCCCCTCTCTGCCCCCTACCCTCTCCTTCCCTCTCCGTCTCTAGGCGCCTGAGCTGAACGGCATAGCGCCTGGTGCGCAGCTGGTGTCGTGCAAGGTGGGGGACACCCGCCTGGGGTCCATGGAGACCCCGCAGGGGCTCATCCGCGCTCTCATTGTCGCACAGCAGGTGGGTGGGGGAGGGGGGAACAGGGGAGGGGGGGGCTCTTCTCGAGTCAGGTCAAGTTGCAGCTGGTGTCGTGCAAGGTGGGGGACACGGGGACACACACGCGCCTGGATGTGTTTTGTTTTTGAGAATTCTCAAAAACAAAACACACACGCCTGGGGTCCATGGAGACTTCGCAGGGGCTCATCCGCGCTCTCATCGTCGCACAGCAGGGGGGTGGTTCTTGGTTGGATTGAATCGGGAGTGTTGCCACCCGGTAGCCGGTGTTAGGGTGGGCGTGGTGCCAGTGGTTGGGTGGTGCTGGGCTGGGCGTGGTGGAGGTGTGTGGGTGGGAGGAGGGTGGGGAAGGGGGTGTGTTGAGTGTGTTGAATCGAGTTGGATTTGGGCTTTTTTTTTAGAGTCGAAATCCCTTCACCGTTTTCTTCCCCCCCTCCTCCCTCTTCCTTCCTTTCACGCCCTTCGTGGTTCCCCATCCCCGCCCCCTGGAATCACTGTGATGGTATTATCGCTAGCTATGGCGAAACATTACTTTCACAACCTCCATCCCTGCCACCCCCGTCCCCTCTCCCCGTCCCCTCTCCCCGTCCCACCTCTCCCGGTTCCCCCCCTCCCTTCCCCCCGTCTCCCCCTCCCTTCCCCCCGTCTCCCCCTCCCTTCCCCCCGTCTCCTTCTCGCCTTCCCCCCGTCTCCCCCTCGCCTTCCCCCCGTCTCCCCCTCACCTTCCCCCCGTCTCCCCCTCGCCTTCCCCCTGCGCCCCCCTCAGAACAAGTGCGATGTGATCAACATGAGCTATGGCGAGCCGGTTGCTATACCCAACTACGGCCGCTTCATTGACATTGCCAACCAGGTGGTGGTTGGGAAGGGGGGGGGTAGGGCAGGGAGTGGAAGGGGAAAGAGTTGGTAGTGACGATGGAGGTGGGGATTGTGAGGTGGGGACTGCTGGTGATATCAGTGCTGGTTGTGTAGGGTTGCGTTTTATGGGTGGGAGGGCGATGATGGGTTGGGATGGGTTGGGATGGGTTGAGTTGGGATGGTTTGAAGTGGTGTGGTTGGGTTTGAATGGGCTCAAGTGCGGCATCGCGTCTGTGATCAGTGCAGGTAACAACAGCACATTGTTATGCATGCTGTGCAGGTAACACACATCCCCGTGCCGCAATTCTCCCCCACTCCTTCCCACTCCTCCCCAACTCCTTCCCACTCCTCCCCCACTCCTCCCCCACTCCTTCCCACTCCTCCCCCACTCCTTCCCACTCCTCCCCCACTCCTCCCCCACTCCTTCCCACTCCTTCCCACTCCTCCCCCCTTCTCCCCCACTCCTTCCCACTCCTTCCCACTCCTTCCCACTCCTCCCCCACTCCTCCCCCACTCCTTCCCACTCCTCCCCCACTCCTCCCCACTCCTTCCCACTCCTCCTCCACTCCTTCCCACTCCTCCCCCTCTTCGTCCCACTCCTCCCCCACTCCTCCCCCACTCCTCCCCCACTCCTCCCCCACTCCTCCCCCACTCCTTCCCCACTCCTTCCCACTCCTCCCCCACTCCTTCCCACTCCTCCCCCACTTCTTCCCACTCCTCCCCCACTCCTCCCCCACTCCTTCCCACTCCTCCCCCACTCCTCCCCCACTCCTTCCCACTCCTCCCCCACTCCTCCCCCACTCCTCCCCCACCCTCCCCACCCCCAGATAGTACACAGGTACGGCATCACGTTTGTGAGCAGTGCGGGCAAGCAGCACACAGTTAGGCATGCTTCTCCCTTACACCTCCCAAGCCCCACTCCTCCCCCACGTACTCCCAACCGCCCGCAGATAGTGCACAAGTACGGCATCACATGGGCAGCGCGGGCGACAACAGCTCACAGTTTGAATACGTCTCTCTACACCCCCATTTCCCCACTCCTGACAACAGATGGTGCACAAGTATGGCATCACGTTTGTGAGCATTTTTTAGGTGCCTCAAAAATCGTTTGTGAGCAGTGTCTGCAACAGCAACTGCTGACTCACATACACCCCGCACATTCCGTCCCTACCCGTTCCCCACTCCCCCCCTCACCCACAGATAGTGCACAAGTACGGCATCACGTTTGTGAGCAGCGCGGGTAACGACGGGCCGGCACTGTCGACGGTGACAGCGCCAGGGGGAACCACATCGTCCATCATTGGCATCGGCGCGTATGTGTCGCCCGCCCTCGCTGCCTCCTCGCACCTCACGCTGGATGCGCTGCCGGACGGGCAGCAGTACACATGGTGCGTGGTCATGGGAGCGTATGGGGAGAGAGGGGAGGTGAGAGGGGGAGAGACAGGGGAGGCGAGAGGGGGGGAGAGGCAAGAAGAAGGGAGGATAAGTGGAGGGGGAAGGGAGGGGATGAGCATGGTGTTTTGGGACGTGTCAGTACATTCAAAGCGTTGTCCATCATTGGCATTGGGGCGTATGTGTCGCCTGCCCTCGCTACATCCTTGCACCTCATACTAGATGCTCTGCCCGATGGGCAGCAGTACACCTTGTGCATGGGGATGGTGAGGGTGGTGGTAGTGTGTGGGGGGGGGAGGAGAGAGGGAGAGGGTGCACGAGAGAGGGGGGAAGAGGGGGGAGGAGAAGAGCGGGGGGGAGGGGAGATGAACATGGTGCTTTGGGGCGTCTCAGAACACTCGAAGCAAATCGTCCATCATTGGCATCGGCATGTAATGCCTGCCCTCGCTGCATCGTCTCACCTCACACTGGATGTGCTGCACGTTGGGCAGCAGTACACCTGGTGCGTGGGGATGGTGGGGGAAGTGCAGATGGTGCATGCATGGTGGTGGTGCTAGTGCACATGGTACTCGGAAACACATCCCAATGGACCTCAAAAGGCAATTTCTTTTCTCTCCTGCAAAGCTAGGCCCTCTCTCCCCTCCCTTTCTCCCTCCCTCCCTCCCTCCCTCCCTCCCTCCCCCCTCACAACATGCACGGTGACAGGTCGAGCAGAGGCCCCACGCCGGATGGGCACGAGGGCGTGTGTGTGAGTGCCCAGAACAGTGCATCCCTCCCATCACTCTACCTTCTGTCTGCCCCCAACCACCACCTTTTCCCTGCATCAAACACCACCTCCCCCCCTTCCCCCCCCTTCGCCCCCTCACAACACCCACAGCGGCAGGTCGAGCAGGGGTCCCACGCCGGATGGGCACGAGGGCGTGTGCGTGTATGCCCGGGGGGGCACGCCATGGCTCCCGTGCCCGTGGTGGCCACACCTTCACTCCTCATCCACACATATCTGCTGCTCACATTGTTTGCCTCCATATTCCACCGTCCCTCCACTCTTCCTTAATCCCTTCTTCCTCCCTCCCTCTACCCCCCTCTCTTTCTCCCCCCACCACCTCTCCCCCCCCCCACCACCTCTCCCCCCCCCACCACCTCTCCCCCCCCCACCACCTCTTCCCCCCCCCACAACACCCACGGCGGCAGGTCGAGCAGAGGTCCCACGCCAGACGGGCACGAGGGCGTGTGTGTGAGTGCCCCAGGGGGGGCCATGTCACCTGTGCCGACGGCGCACCTGCAGTCGCGCATGGTCATGGCCGGCACCTCCATGGCCTCGCCCAACGCTGCTGGGGGGGTGGCCCTCCTTGTCTCTGCGCTCAAGGTGAGACTGGACTCTCGTACTGCCGTATGCTCTGCTCTAGTGCTGCTCATGGCCGGCACCTCCATGGCCTCGCCCAATGCTGCTTGGGGGGTGGCAGTGCTCGTCTCGGCCCTTAAAGCCGTTGACCCAAATTGCAGAAATTGCGTTTCAAGATTAATAATCTTGAAACCACCCGATTGGTAACCCAGTTCCCCAAAGCGACAGCAAAAACCGAAGTCGTGCACCAAAACGACGGGAAACAGCCCATAATCTTGGGCCACCCCTAGCCGATTCCGCCACTGCCCCCGTCACACCAGGCGTATGAGCGGAAATAAACTTGAAACTTGCGCCCATACATTTTTGGACTTTCGATGTGCAAACTCAGCCCAGCGCCACTACGCCCTAGGCTGCGAAAGCACCAGGCACAGCACATGGGAGTGTTGTTTAGGGCATGGTACATCTCGGATCAATTGAGGTTTGAGACCTGAACTCGCAAAAAAAAAAAAAACTTATCGAACACGCTTGATCGTTGTGAAAACATTCAAACCGTCTACCACCCCATTAAAGGTCAAACTTCTGTTCAAAATGACCCTTTGGGATCTGAGGTGTACCACGGCATGCGCAACCAGAGTTGCACATCTCTCTCTCGGCCAGGTTGCGAGTGGCGTGTCCTGTCTTCTCGCTATTTCTGATGTTTCTCGCTGTGTCCCGCCCCCCACCCGCGCCTAGCGCACCCCCCCCCCCCCCCCCCCCCTTACCTTTTCCGCCCACCCCTCCCCTTCTGTCCAATCTGACTGGCGGTGGTTTTGCTTCGTTTTTTTTGCCGCCCCGATTGGTTTATGCTGTTTCGTCACAAGTTATCTTGTCGTGTATGGTGTTGCGAAGTTCGTTCGATGGCAAAGCACACTCGCCACCTCGCACCACAGCAAAACGCCCCTGCTCGTTGCCTGGCCGCACTTTTTGCCTGGTCATGATTATTAATCTTGCACGTTTTGGGCCACCGGCTTTAAGGTAAGTGTGTTGTACTGCCAATTTGGCATGCTCATGCTTATGCTCATGCCCATGCTCATGCCCATGCTTATGCGCATGCTCATGCTCATGCTCATGCTCATGCTCATGTTCATGCTCATGCTCATGCTCATGCTCATGCGCATGCTCATGCTCATGCTCATGCGCATGCTCCTGCTCGTGCTCATGCTCATGCTCATGCTCATGCTCATGCTCATGCCCATGCCCATGCTCACATGCCCATGCCCATGCTCATGCTCATGCTCATGCTCATGCTCCTGCTCATGCTCCTGCTCATGCTCATGCTCATGCTCATGCTCATGCTCATGCTCATGCTCATGCCCATGCCCATGCCCACGCCCATGCCCATGCCCATGCCCATTCTCATGGTGCGCATGTTCATCATGGCAGGCACCTCCATCCGTGGCCTTGCCCAGTGGGCAGGCAGGGGCCTCAGAAGCCCCCTTCCACCCTCCCTTGGGATCCCTTTGACCCACCGTCTCAGGAAGATATGGTGGTGTTGACTCGTGTTGACTCTTGTTGAGCTGAGGTCGCACGCGAGCGCTACAGATCACTCACAGCCACGCCGTGAACTCTCTTCACCCCTCCCCTCCCCGCACACCCTGTCCCACCCGCCCCGTTACCCTCCGCCCATCGCAGCAAGACATGGGGGTGTCGAACGCGGGCCTGCCATACAGGGGACGCTGGAGCTGACGGCCATTCCGTAAACCCTCTTCTCCCCTCCCCCCCCCTTCCCGCCCTCCCCCCCCCTCTTCCCGACCTCTCTCCCCTCCCCCGCATGCCCTGTCCCACCCGCTCCATCACCCACCGCCCATCGCAGCAAGACCTGGGGGTGTCGAACCCAGGCCCGCATGCCATACGGGGGCCTCTGGAGCTGACGGCCATGCCGTAATCCTCTTCTCCCCTCCCCCCCCCTCCCCGCCCTCTCCCCCCCTCTTCCCGACCTCTCTCCCCTCCCCCGCATGCCCTGTCCCACCCGCTCCATCACCCACCGCCCATCGCAGCAAGACCTGGGGGTGTCGAAGCCGGGCCCGCATGCCATACGGCGTGCGTTGGAGGTGACGGCCGCGGACCTGGCCGGGGATAACCATGCCATGGCGCTCACACATGGCCGCGGGCTTGTGCAGGTCGACAGGTCTGTTCTTGGTTTGAAGGGGGATTTTGCTTTGAGAATTCCTGAAAACCAACTCAGAAGGAGGGTTTGGGGTTCAGGTTTGCGGATGATGTGGGAAGGGGGTTGGTGGTTGGGGCGGGCGGTAATGCAGCGAGGGCGGATTGAGGGATGGAGGGAGGGAGGGAGGGAGGGAGGGAGGGAGGGACAGATGGTTCACAGGGCGCTTATTGTGTGAGCATGATGTTGCGTGTGAGCGGTAATATTCTTACTTGTGTGCTGATGTCTGTGTGTGGGTGTGTGGGTATTCTATTTCGTCCATGTGCATGAAACCATGTGGGCATGTGCATGTGAGTCGGTTGAATCTGAGCAAGTGGGCACGCATGTGCATGTGCATGTGCATGTGCGTGTGTGTATGTGTGCGAGTGTGCATGGTTGCCTGGTTCATTCATCCACAGGGCATTCGAGTACCTGTGCCGTCACCCAGCGTCGTCCCTTGAACTCACATCTGACATTCGCTACTCTGTGCTCGTCAAAACAGCGTCGGGAGCAGGTAACGCCAAGAGGCAGGCGGCTGTGATTCATCCGCTGGCCAGGGCATTACGGCATTGCGGTGCTCTCAAAGTCTTGGTGAATCACACCGTGATGGCGCCATGCTGAATCCTGGGGCGATTGCAAGTGACCCCAGGAGCGAAGGGAACACACATCTGTTTTGGAGCTTGTTTGGAGCTTGCTTGTTTGGAACTCCATCCGTTCTTGGAGCGAGGGGCCATACGTTCTCTTGGAGCTGCTCCTTGCATGCCTCCTGCTCCTGGCGTGCCCTGCCCTGGGGATACCAACACATAGGGAAGGAATATGGCCAAACAGCCAGCAACACATGAGTCCACAGAATGGCATTGTTTTATGCCGTTCTTTTTCCCCTCAATACAAGCACGTTTGTCTCCTCCCACACATTTGACACCCCCCCCCCCCGCCACCCCCCCCGCCATCCACATCTCCCTCCCTTAACCAGTTGTTGCTTTCACATTGTCATTCCACATCTCCCTCCCAACGCCTTCCATATTGCTCCTCCTCCTCTCCTTCTCACCCCTTCCTTCTCTCGCATCCACTCCAACGCCCTCCTTCCTTCCTGCCCCCCCTCCTTTCTCACGCAACCGCCCTCCTTTCCTTCCCGTCGTCGGCCCACTTTTCCCTCTCCCGTGCTCGCTCGGCCCATTTCTCCAGGTGGTTCTCGGCGAGGCATATACATCAGAGAGCCTGGTGAAAGCGATGCTCCCTCAGAGGTACGTGATCCCTCATCATAGGTGTCGTTCCGCCACCGTGTGTAATGAGTAGATTTTTGAGTCGACTAAAAAATCGACTCATTACACACCTTCAGAGGTACGTGATCCCTCATCATAGGTGTCGTTCCGCCACCCCTCCGTCTCCTGCCTCCGCCCCCCATTACTCTCCTCTCTTGCTCTCGTCTTGCCCCCCTCCCTGGTCGTTTTCTCTCCGGGTTTTGCCCAAGAGTATCTCGGATCTGTCTCCCCCCCCCCACCTGCCACCACTATTCCTGCGCCTGCCTGCCCTGTGTGCGAGCATGCGTCCCGTCTCACAGTGGCAAGTGTTTGTGGACCCGTGGTTCCATGAGGACGCGGACAACCTGACAGTGAAGGCGCAGTTTGAGCGCACACTCAAGCTCGTGCCCACTGCCGACTGGGTCAAGGCGCCCGACCTCCTGCTGCTTCCCAACAACGGCCGCAACTTCTAGTCAGTGCTGCTTTGATAATGCATGTGCCGTGCTGATCTGTGATATAATGTGTTCTAGTTGCGCTGTGCTGGGCTGACAGGCTGTGCAGTGTAGTGCGGCATTCCACACTGTGCCATTCAGTCCCATGCCATGCCATGCCATCCTATGTCTTGACGTCCAGCTTTACTTTCCTCCATCCGAGCTTGATGTGGAAAACGCTTTCCACATCACCTCCTCCCCATCTTCTCTGCTCGCTCACTCCTGTTCTCTCCCCCTACTCCACCTCCCGCCAGTGTGCGAGTGGACCCTTCGTCGCTCCCTCCAGGGCTTCACTCCGCTGAACTGCGGGCCATAGACTTCCCCTTTGTCTCCTCACATTCTATCCCCCCCTGTTTCCCGCCAGTGTGCGAGTGGACCCCTCGTCGCTCCCCGCCGGGCTGCACTACGCTGAGCTGCGCGCCATAGACACGGCCAATGAGTGGCAGGGGACGCTCTTCCGAGTGCCTATCACTGTTGTCAAGCCCGTCGCGCTGCCAAACCCCGCTGTTCCCCACCGCTTCCCCTTCGGCATGCTGCAACCAGGTGGGTGATTCGTTTCTGATTCGTTGGTGGGCTGGTGATGCGTTGCTTTTGGTATAGAGTCCCGTAGTGGTTGCTTGGTCCATCTGCATAGATCCATCTGCACCTCTCCTCCTTCTCCCCCCCCTATCATCCCCTTCCCCATTGCACCTCTCCAGCCCTCCCTTCCCTCCTTTCCCCCCCTCCCTCCCCCTCCCCCTCCCTGCTCTTTCCACCCATGGATCAGCCTGGCCAGAGATCCATCTGCACATCTCTTCCTTCGCTTTTCCTCTCACCGTCATCATCCACACGCTGCAGCTCGTTCCCGCCTGTCGCCTGTCGCCTGTCGTCCCCCTCCCCATCAAACCTCTTCCCCTATCCCCTCTCGTCCTTCCCTTCCCAGGTCACGTGCAGCATCCCCCCAGGCAGCTGCGCAGTCATAGATCCATCCACACCACTCCTCCTTTGTCCTCCGCTCCTGCCCCCTTTCCCATTGCACCTCTCCTGCCCTCCCCTCCCTTCCCCCCCTCCTCCTTCCCCCCCCCCAGGCGACGTGCACCGCACCTTCCTGGTCGTCCCCCAGGGAGCAGCGTGGGCGGAGATCCACCTGCACCTCTCGTCCTGCACTGTCCCGCTCACTGTCGTCATCTACACGCTGCAGCTCGTGCCTGCCCCGCCCCATCCCCCATCTCTCCCTATTTCCCCCCCCTTCTCTCCTCCTTCGCCTTTCCCCCATTCGTCCCCTTTCCAATCGCACCTCTCCTGCCCTCCCCTCCCTCCTCCCTCCCCCCTTCTCCCTCCCAGGCGACGTGCACCGCACCTTCCTTGTCGTCCCCCAGGGAGCAGCGTGGGCGGAGATCCACCTGCACATCTCCTCCTTCACCGTCCCGCTCACCGTCGTCATCCACACGCTGCAGCTTGTGCCCGCGCGCCGTCCCACGTACCGCCGCACGCGCGCCTTCTACCAGTTCTCTGCGCCTTCCTCCAAGACCATGTCCTGCCTTGTTGAGGGGGGAGGGACGTTGGAGGTTTCTGTGGGGCTGAATTGGTTCTGCGGCCGGGGGGCTGAGCCGCCCCCACATGCTGAATTGGAGGTAAGGGGGTTGGTTTGTGGGGAAGGGTTTTGGGGGGAGGAGATGGGGAAGGGGGGGAGGGGGATGAAGGGAATTGCCTTGGGAGTATGGTTGAACTGGTTCTGAGGGTGGGGCGGTGGGCTGCTGCCACCCCACGTACCGCCGCACGTGCGCCGTCTACCAGTTCTCTGCGCCTTCCTCCAAGATCATCTCCTGCCTTGTCGAGGGGGGAGGGACGTTGGAGGTTTCCGTTGGGCTCAACTGGTTCTGTGGCCGGGGGCCTGAGCCGCCCCCACATGCCGAGCTGGAGGTAGGGTTGCCGGAGGGTGATGGTATGGAGGGGAAGTGGGGGGTTTGCGGGGGAAGGGAGGAAAGGGGCGAGTCTTGGCGGTTGTGGCTGGGTCGTGCGGTTTCGGGGGTGGGATGCTGACCTGCCCGCTGCCCCACGTTTCGCTGCACATGCGCCTTCTACCAGTTCTCTGCCCCTTCCTCCTAGACGATGTCCTGCCTCCGTGCCTCGTGGAAGGAAGCGGCACGTTAGAAATTTGTGGGGTTGATTTAGGTCTGTGGCCAGGGGCTGAGCCTCCCCCAGATGCTGATTTGGAGGTAAGGATGGAAGAGGAGAGAGGGGGGGTGGGGGGGGTGAGGGGGGGGGGAGGACATAGGGTGGGGGATAAAAGGGAGGGAGAGGGTAAACGACTGTTGTTGTCCTGGCTGTCATTCCTGCTCAGTGCTCTTCTTCGTGCCCTCAATCTCTCCAATTCTTCGCCACATGCCCCCATAACCTTCTCCCGCTCCCCTCCACCCCACCCGGACCCTCCACCCGCCTCTTAACCGCCCTGTCTGGAACTGCTGTTTCCGCACCTCATACCTCCTTGGCCTGGCATGGTGCGCATTGCATGGTGTGGTGTGCATGGCATGGCATGGCATGGAAGGGAATGGGTTGCATGTTATCGCATGGGTTGCATGGCATGGCACGGCATGGTGTTGCCTGGCAGGTGGAGTTCCACGGGTTGGCTCCGTTGCATGGCGATGTGACCATCAACGGGGGCTCCAACGTGCAACGCATCGACATTGCTTCTGCGCCCTTCCGCATGGAGCGATTCACACCATCCATCTCGCTCAACCGAGTAACCTCACCTCACAATGCCTTCTTTCCCTCCCTCCCTTCGTTCCTCCCCCCCCCATCCCTCCCTCCCTTCCGTCTTCCCCCCCTCCCCCCCTCCCGCGCTCCCTCCTTCCATCTCTTCGAATCTCTCTGTAGCTCCCTCCCCCGTCCCTTCTGCTTTGCCCCTCCTGACACTGCGTTTTCTCTTTCTTTCGCTCGCTCTTTAGATTCTGCTGCACTCGTTTTTACCCCCCTTGCCTTCTCCACTTCCCTCTTCCGCTTCCTTGCCCCTTCGTGCACCTGTTCGCAAGGCAATGCGCCAGCTGTGCTGCACCCACCGCCCCTCGAAGTCGCGAGTGGAGCCCGTCAACAACACCTGTCCGTTTGCCCCCGTTTTTCCCTGTCTTTCCCCTGTTTTCCGCCCCTTTTTGCCCCTCTTTTCCCCGGTTTTGCCCCCATGCCCCTTGTTTGCCCCTGTACCCTCCATAACCTCAACCCCCGGCCATCCGAAACCATGCGCCAGCTGCGCTCGACGTACCGCCCGTCGGAGGCGCGAGTGGAGCCGCTGTCGTCCACGCGGGACGTGCTGCCCGATGGCAGGCAGATTCAGGCACTCAACCTCACGTACGTGCTCGCTCTCGTCGTCAGGCGCCTGGGATGGGGGAGAGAGGGGGAGATTAGGCAAATTGGGGTGAGGGGGGTTTCGTTTTGAGGCGCCGCAAAGCTGTCTGCCAACCCGGGACATGCTGCCCGATGGCAGGCAGATTCAGGCGCTCATTTTTGAGGCGCCTCAAAAGTAGACTCCTCACACGGGACATGCTGCCTGAGGGCAGGCAGATTCAGGAGCTCAACCTCACGCATATGCTCGCTCCAGGTGGCGGGAAGATTGGGGAGCGGGGGGGATTGGGGTGAGGGGGGGAGGGTGTGGGGGTTGGGGAGAGGGGAGTGGGGGGGGAGCAGCAGGGGGTTTGTGGAGAGGTTGAGGATTGGGAGAGGGTGGGCTGGTTGGAGCACTGGACAGGATGAGGGAGTTGGGTTTAGGGTGAGCTCACCAGGGTTGAGCTCGCCCCTGCACAGTATCCACCAATCCAACCGCTCTTAACGCTCTTGTTCTTACCCAGAACAATCAATCCGGCCCAAGTTATAAGCTATCGTGACCCTTGCCCCAGCCCGCCTATCTCTGCGCCCCCCCCCTCCCCTCCCCCACCCCCCATTCACGCATTTCCCTCCCTCCATGTTTCTCGTGATAGAAGTCTAGTTTTGAGGCGCCTCAAAACGGCGCGATAGAAGTCTAGTTTTGAGGCGCCTCAAATCTAGGCCCCCCCCCCAATTCACGCATTTCCCTCCCTCCATGTTTCTCCTTCCCCGTGCCACTCGTCCACCTGCAAGTTCTCTACATCGAATCCCAGCCACAACTCGCCTCCTTTTGACGCGCTGAATGCTCCCGTTTACCCCCAACCCCCATCCCCCCGCTCACCCACCTGCACCCCCACACACCCCCCTCTTCTCCCTCCCCCCCTCCCCTTCAGCTACAAGTTATCTATATCAGAGCCGGGCCGCTACACCCCTCGCTTCCCGCTGCTGAACCAGCGGCTGTACGACAGCGAGGTGGAGGGGCAGTTCTTCCAGCTCTTCGACTCGCACAGGCGCCTGCTGGCCTGCGAGGATGCGTACCCCAAGCCCGTCAAGCTGCCCAAGGGCGAGCTGACGCTGAAGCTGCAGATCCGCGGGGACAAGGTGGCGCGCCTGGAGAAGCTCAAGGCCATGCCGCTGCTCATGGACCGGACGCTGGAGGACAAGGTGCGGGGGAAGGGGGAAGGGGGAAGGGGGAAGGGAAAGCGCAGGTTGGGATGAGGCAAGGAGGGGAGGGGCAAGGTGGCGCGCCTGGAGAAGCTCAAGGCCATGCCGCTGCTCATGGACCGGACGCTGGAGGACAAGGTGCGGGGGTGGAGGGGCGGGAGGAGGGGGGAAGGAGGAAGGGGGGGAGGAGGGGGGAAAGAGGAAAGGGTGGAGGGAAGGAGGTGGGGGTGTGAGGGGCTTTGTTGGCGCTCATTCACTGGTTCTTGTCTTCGAATAGCCCCCTCCCGTCCCTCTCCCGTTCATTCTTTGAAGTGCAATATCGAGGTGACTAAGTGAGTCGACTGAAAAGTCTTTCTTTGTGTGTGCAATATCGCCAACGCAAACTATTTCTCCTTTTCCTCCCCCGTCTCTTTTCGAAACCTCTGCTGAGGAATCCGCTTCTTCCCACCCACCCACCACCACCACCACATCGTCATCTTCGTTTGTCAGCCAGAAGTGAAGCAGGTGTCGATGCTAAAGCCATGCTTGTATCATGCATCACCCGTCACGACGCCTCAAGTTCCACTTCCCTCCACTCCACCACCACTCCCTCCCTCCCTCCCTCCCTCCCTTTCTGCGGTTCAGTCTGTGCGGAAGCCAGGCGTGCACAAAATACAGACCTCACAAAATACACTCTTCTCCCCACCCCCTCCCCATTCCCTCCCCTCTTCCCCTTTGGGACAGTCGGTCTAGAAGCTCAGCGCGTACAATTCAGCAGGCATTGCCATCTTCGCTGGCAGTGCTTCCCTTCAGCACTCTTAGAATGCTCCCTCCCTTCCCTTACACGTCCTCTCCCTTGGTCTCTCTGTGCAGTCGGTCTTGAAGCTCAGTGTGTACAACACAGCAGATAGTGCCATCTTCGCGGGCACTGACACGGTCAAGAACGCCCTCATGGGGCCCAAGTGAGCTAGTTGGGGGACTTTTCTTTTTTTTTACTCTTTGCCAGAGACTGCAATCACGGCCCTCGAGTGAGTTGCCATGTGGTTGTGCTTGTTGGGTCTGTTTTTGAGTTGACTTAAAGCCAGAGGGTGGCAGTGGAAGCAGGGCGTTTGTTTCCATGCTTTGAATGCGTTTTTGCATTTTTGCCAGGAGCGTGGGACTGTGAGTAACACTCATTGTGCTCAACCCTCAATGAGTGAGCATCGTTGTCCACTGAGTGAACCCACCTCTCCATTCCCCTCTCTCTCTCTGTGCCGCTCCCGTTCCGTTGTGGTGGTTTTTCTGTGTCGCTTGTGTGTGCGTGTCTGCGTGCGTGAGTCAACGAGTGCGTGAGTGTGTGTGTGTTGCATGCGTGAGTGCGTGCGTGAGTGCGAGCGTGTGTGCGTGCGTGAGTGTGCGTGTGTGCGTGTGTGAGTGCGTGCGTGAGTGTGTGTGTGTGTGTCCCTCCTGTGAGTGCAGTGAGAAGCGAGCCTTCTTCATATCGGGCCCAGGTGACCTCCCAAAGGTGCGTCAACTCTCCCCCTCTCTCCATCTCTCTTACCATGCCCACGTTTCTGCATATACGTACCCACGTCACGTCCTCATGGCTCGCTGCATCTGCCCCGCTGCATCGCCTCCCATCTTTTCCTTCGTCTCCTTTCTTGTCCACCCGTCTCCCATCTGCCCGTTCCTCCGCCTCTCGCCTTCCCTGTGTCCTGCCACATGCCATCAGGACGCGACACCTGGCACGCTGCTACTGGGCCGCATGACTCTTGCCAAGACCGGAGGCCTGTTTGTCAGCGCAGACACCAACTCTGCTGCTCCGTGCCGCGTGCACGTCACCTATGTGGTGCCGCCTCCAAGCAAGGTGCGTGTGTGGTATAGTCAAAGGGGCAACCTGGAAGCGGGGCAGTTGGGAAGGGGGCCTAGAAGGCAGCCTAGTTTGTCAACGCGGACACCAACTTGGCTGAACCACTCAGCGTGCATGTCACCTATGTGGTACCGTACCGCCTGCAAGCAAGGTGCGCATTTTGCAATAGGCAAGATGGTAAGTTGTGTTTCGTTGTTGTTCACATGCCTAAGTCCATTGCTGCGGCTCACATCTGCAGCGGTCGTGCATCTCTCTCCCTCACCGTTCCTTCCCACACCTTCTCCCTCCCCCACCAGACTGACGATAAGAAGACCTCGTCGTCCTCCTCCTCTGCTTCTCCCACTAAAACAGCCGCCGAAAGGCTCCACGAGGAGGTAATGCGCTTTTCCCCTTGTCTCTCCTCTTCGACTCCCTGTCCATGGCTCTCTCTCCCACTCGCATTCCCTGTCCCTCTCAATGAATCTCCCCTCTTTCTCCCCTCTTTCTCCCCTCTCTCTCCCCTCTTTCTCCCCTCTCTCTCCCCTCTCTCTCCCCTCTCTCTCCCCTCTCTCTCCCCTCTTTCTCCCCTCTCTCTCCCCTCTCTCTCCCCTCTTTCTCCCCTCTCTCTCCCCTCTCTCTCCCCTCTCTCTCCCCTCTCTCCCCCCTCTCTCTCCCCTCTCTCTCCCCTCTCTCTCCCCTCTCTCTCCCCTCTCGCTCCCCTCTTTCTCCCCTCTCTCTCCCCTCTTTCTCCCCTCTCTCCTCAATACCAGCTTCCGCTGCCCTGGTTCACTCCCTTCTCCTCCCGCCCCCCCCTACCTCCTCATTTTCACGTTCCTATGCACTCGAGATCTTCATTCTTCCTTCACCACCTGCATTCCACATGTGCCCTTCATCTCCACTCTTCTCATTTTCGCTACCTCTTATCTCCCTCCCCCCCCCCCCCCCCTCTCCCCCAATCACTATTTCCTAACCCGAAACCCCGACCTATTGCATAGTACCCATCCCAAATCCCTGAACTCTGAACCCTGACTCAGCACCCCAACCCCGCAACACAACTTCGAAACCCTGAAACCTTCTCCCCCGCAGTTGTATACCCTGAACCCGAACCCCACATCCCAACCCCTTCAATCCTGAAACAACATCTCCCATCCCACTCCCCTCATCCTCCATTTTTTACACCCAGCGGCTGCGCGATGCGAAGGTGAAGGTGCTGGCATGGCAGCAGTGGCAGCAGAGGAGCGGGACTGGGCGAAGAGCGAGGGCGAGTTTGTTTCGAGAGGTCTCTAATCCCTACTCCTCCCATCCCTTATCGTTCACCCCCTGGCCCCGGCAGCTGCGGGATGCGAAGGTGAAGGTGCTGGCAGCGGTGGCAGCGGAGGAGCGGGACCGGGCGAAGAGTGAAGGCGAGTTTGTGGGCATGGCGCAGCAACTCAAGGCACGCTCCAACCACCTGAGGCGCCTCCTTGCCATCCTCCTCCACCTCCTGCCGGTTCCCCTTAGACACCTCTCCTCCCCTTTCTCTCTCTTTCTCCCTCGCTGTCTCTTTCCCCTTTTCGAGTCCACTTACCCTCGATATCGAGTCTGCATGGAGGTGTGTCTCTGCATACACTATCATCGTTTTTGTGCACTACAGCAGGTTGCGGTTTTCAGTTTTGATACTTCTCAAAACAAGACTAGTTGCACACGGTGCATGCACTATCATTGCTTTTGTGCTCCTCAGCAAGTTGTGTTGCTCATTGCTGCTCCATTCCGATTTTTCTTCGTCGCTGTTTTCCAGCCTGCTAGTCATCTCCCAGCTTCTCCCAGCTTCGTCCCTCCAACTTCCCCTCTCCCTTTCCTCCCCGTCTCCCCAACCATCTCCTCCTCCCCTTGCACCTCTGTTGTGGCCACCCCGGTCTCAGGAGGAGTACCCCGGGCACCTGCCTCTGCTGCTGGAAGTGCTTCGATTCTACGATGATGCCAAGATGCGACCCACCTCTCTGCTCAAGGTATCCACGTTCTCCATTCAAGTTACTCCCCTAGCACAGCTACTCGCCTTCCATAGTTACTCCGACATTCAACTCCGTAGGGGTCAATTACCTGTTCAAGGTTCGTTCTTCTGTTGACTGTTACTCCGTGTTTGATTCAAAGTGCAAGTGGTGTGGCAGTGGTGACTTGTGGGTTAGCTCGCTGCTTATGCTGACGCATGCGCCTTTTGAGTCGACTCAAAAGCAGTGGTGGTTTGTGGGTTAGCTCGCTGCTTGTGACGCGTGCGCCTTTTCATGCTGACCTACCCAGCTCCACACCACTTCATCCTCCAGATACCTACCTCTCTGCTTTTGAGTGGACTCAGGAGCGGACCTTCCTACCTACCTACCTATCTACCTTTCTACCTATCTACCTATCTCCCTATCTCTCCCTGCTCGAGACGCCTCTTCCTCGTCCTTCCCTCCCACATCTTCCGAAATGCTCGCCTTGTTTTCGTCGACCACATGAAAGTTGTCGGTGCACGCACGCATACAAGCCTTTGCCTGCTGTTCCGCCATCATCGTTTGCCCCCTACTGCCTGCACACTCCCACGTCATGTGGTGGAGGCAGCAGATAACCTGTTGACCAACGTTGACCGTTGATGACCATATCAGCTCCCCCTTCCATCCCTCTCTCCCTACTCTACTCATCTGGTTTCTCATCCACTTTGCCTCTCACCCGTCTCTATACGCCCCCTGCTTTTGAGTCAACTGAAAGGCTCCTGCAACCCTGCTCCTCCCCCCCCGGGTCCTCCCCTGCACCACCCATGTCAGGTGGTGGAGGCAGCAGATGCAGTGGTGGGCAGCATTGACCGCACGGCTCTTGCAGTCTTCCTGGCGATGAAGAGCGAACCAGAGGGCGCAGACGGACAGGTGGGTTGGGGTGGGGTGGGATACATACAGGTGGCCTGGGGAATCCAGTGTTATGGGTGTTTGCATTTGCACTCGGTGCTTCTGTGCACATGGATGCATGTGATGGGGGGTGGGATGGGGGGTGGGATGGGGGGTGTGATGGGGGGTGTGATGGGGGGTGTGATGGGGGGTGTGATGGGGGGTGTGATGGGGGGTGTGATGGGGGGTGTGATGGGGGGTGTGATGGGGGGTGTGGCGGGGGTGCGATGGGGGGTGCGATGGGGGGTGCGATGGGGGGTGCGATGGGGGGTGCGATGGGGGGTGTGATGGGGGGTGTGGCGGGGGGTGCGATGGGGGGTGTGATGGGGGGTATGATGGGGAGTGTGATGGGGGGTGTGGTGGGGGGTGTGATAGTACGTTTTTCCTCAGATCCTGCTGCTGCTGAGGATTTCTGTCCCCTCCTTTCTTTTAGATCGCACTGTCTTCGTGCCTCCCTCACTCCCTCTCCCCTTCCCTCGAAACTGCTCGTTCTTTCCGTTTTTCTTACACACCCCCGTACTCCCTTCTCCCCCTTCTCCCCCTCTTGTTCTCCCCCCCTCCCCCACCACTCCCTCCCGCCCCTCTTCCCCCCCAACCCATGCGAAACTTGCCCTTGCCATGGCACCAGAAGGAGAAGAAGGAGAAGGAGGCGCAGAGGGATGCGCTGATAGAGGCCCTTCACAAGAAGGCGCTGGCTCTAGCTGACCTTCAGTCGCCCTTCACTGCTGCTCCTGCCACTGTTAGTCATGCTGCCATGCTGCCACGCACCATCTCTCACATGCTGGCATACCCACACGCACACATATAAACATGCGCAGATGCACCCAGCACTTGGCGTTTGCCTTAGTAGTCGTCCATTTCTATAGATCTCTATTTCCAATTTGTGTTACTCTGTTTCTTTTGCGCTTGATGCTTGTTGCTGTTTCTCCTCCCTTCGTTTGTCATTCCCTTCCCCATACCCTAAGACTCACCCCTTCTCCCACTCTCCTCTCAATCTCCCCTCCTTCCCTCTCTCCCTTTTTCTCCCTCAACCTCTCCCTCTCACCCTCCGGTCACCCCTCCCACTACCACAGCCAACATCAGAGTCACCAGCAGCAGCAGCAGCAGCAGCAGCAGCAGCAGTAGCTGAAGCCCCCGCACTTGCCACCACAGAAGCAGTATCATCGCCTGCCGATGCTCCCTTCGCCGCCGCTCCTTCTGCCGTTGACCCTGCACCCCCTACTTCTGCAGCAGAGGGAATCGAACTAGATGCAGCAGCGGCATTCACTGAACTAGAGGCAGCTGCGGCAGCAGCAGCAGCAGCAGCAGCAGAGGCATCACCAAGTGGAGCAGCAGCAGGCGCAGCAGCAGCGGCGGCTGCAGGTGGTGATGGCAGTGCTTCTACGGGCGGTGGGGCGTCTACCATTGGGGCGTCTACCATTGGGGCGTCTACCATTGGGGCGTGTACTGGTGGTGGTGGTGGTGGTGGGGGGGGGGATGCGTTTGAGGAGACGTACCAGGAGTTGCGCAAGTGGGCGGATGTGTCTCAGGCCAAGTACGGCATGCTGGGGATCATGAGGGAGCGCCGCGCCAACCGCCCCGCACTCGCTCTCAAGGTAGGGAGTGGGGGAGGGGGCAAGAGGATGAAGGGTGGAGTTGGGGAGGAGTGGGAAGGAGTGGCATTTCTCCACTGTAAGCTTGGAGTTTCTGGAGTTCACTTGGAAGCTTGAAGGCGAGGGGGGGTATTCCTCTGTCAGCCCGATCCCCCACGCTCGCAAAAGTTTTTGCTGGGGATCATGATTATTGAGTTTTCCTGTGCATCCCTGCCCACCCCTGCCCACCCCTGCCCACCCCTGCCCACCTCTGCTCACACCTGCCCATCTCTGTCCATCCCTGAACATAAGATCCTGAACAAGGTGTTGGATGACGATCCCAAGGCGGCGGACAAGAAGATGCAGGAGCTCAAGGTGGCGCTGCTGCAGCAGCTGCAGTGGCCGCTGTGGGCCGTGCACGAGAAACGGTGGAACACTGCCCGCTTCCCCACGCACTGGGCTCCCTTCTGAGTGGGGGACGAGTGGGGGAAGCCTGGGTGACGGACGGACGGCTGTCCTTGTCCTTCTGATTGGGGGGCGAGTGGGTGTGCCAAAAACAAGGGGGGTATAACTTCTGACGATTAGTTCCCCTCATGCAGCGCTCTTTGCATCGTTGGCATGGGGTGTGGGTAGGGGAGGCATTCTCCCATACACAGGAGGAAATTCTGGCATTCTGGCTCTTGACATTGCCCGTAGCTTGTGGCCGATTACTAGGCTGAAATGGAACTTGCTCTGTGTGAACCCTTCGGGACCAGGAGTGCGTCTATTTCTGGCCTGTGTGCACACGGCCCTAGTATGGGTGTTTTATGGGGAGTTATGGTTTTTGCATCACTGTCAATGTCTGAACTAATCAGTGCCACGAATAGTTGAAGAAGTACCTCATCCCCTGGCACATGTACAAGTTCCAAACGAACCAACCAGTCATACCTGCTAGATGATGGGCACTGCACTGCACCGCGCCGTACTGCGCTGCACTGCACTGCACTGCACTGCACCGCGCCGTACTGCGCTGCACTGCACTGCACTGCACTGCACCGCGCCGTACTGCGCTGCACTGCACTGCGCTGCACTGCACTGCACTGCACTGCACTGCACTGCACTGCACTGCTGAAGAATAACCTCCCTGAAAGATCTGATCTGAATGGTCCACACAGCATCTCTTTGCTCATTTTGCATGTCTTCTGTTCTGTACCTCTTGCCTGGTAACTAGCCCTGCTTGTAGAGTGCTATGAGGCGCTTTGCTTCTCTGATGCCTGAGAGGTACGCCCCGTGCGTGTTGGAGTAGTGATGCCGCTCCGTGGCCTCCCCTGCAAACAACACCTGTAGCTCTGCTGCTGCTGCTGCTGCTGCTGGCCCTGTGCAGGCAGCAGTTGGTGCCTCTGCACCTGCTTCTTCAACATCTGGTGCTGCCCCTCTAGCCTTGTCAGTGCCAGACTCACCAGGCCCGCACCCCGCAGGGCCAAAACCACACCCACCAGGAACAGGCAGAGCCATGATCTCCAAGTCCTCTCCAGAGCTCCCTGGGGCCACGAACGAGTACGACCCCCGGAACAGCGGGCTCGACCCCCACCGCGAGCGCAGCCCAGCAACTGCCTCCGGGAGCAGTGCTGCAGTTTCCCCTGGGAGGAAATGGCGGATGACGTTGCAGAGAGCGTGGTTGAAGCGAGGGGGAGTGGAGGAGGAGGTGGCTGTGGAGGGGACTGGGACTGGGCTACTACTACCACCATTGCCCTGAGCAGCATCTGCAGAGGCATCCGCATTAGCCGCAGTGTGGCTACAGGTATTCCCCTCGCCCCCCTCCCCTTCCCATGACTCCATGTCATATGCCTCTTTGCCCGCTATCCAGGCGAGCACCACGCGTGACTGCGCATTGACAGGGTGGAAGGAGAATAGCTTGCGCGTCCACGCAGGGAAGCGGGAGGAGTTTGATGCTTGAGGCAATGGCTCATCACCGTCAGCCGAAGGAGCAGCGGCAGCAGCCCCAGCAGCAGCAGCGGCGGTGGCAGCAGAATCTGACTCCCACCAGGGGCCAGGCCAGTGCGTAGGAGGAGCAAGGGGTTGGGCTGGAGCGTCCCACACTATCTCCAGCTCTGCTGTGTCCGGCCCAAATATGGCCGTCTGGGCAAGGGAGCGAGGAGAAGGAAACGAGGAGTAGAAAAGAAGGGGGTTGCAGAGGAAAGGAGGGTTGTGCTGAGCTGAGAAGACCATTCTTAAATCGCTCAAAGGAGGACAGCTGAAGTGAGGATGAATGGGAAGTGACCGGATGCCACAAGAAAGCACCTGCAGTCGAATAATAAGACACCGGATAACTCTTGAAATACTAAGTTGAGGTATTCCCAAACAATGGGGTTCTTGTGCACTGTACCTTTGGAAACTCCAGAAACACTTTGTCAGCTACCCCGAAGCCAAGACGGCGAATCGCGCGCAGCTTGTTCTCAGGCAGCGGCGGGCAGAAAATATTTCGCTCGGGCAGGGAGTTGGCATCTTCGCCAGCAGCCCTCTCTTTAAGCACCCCCAGAGACACCGTTACAATCACATGGTCCACGTGGATCTTCTCCCCTCCCTCCAACACTACACACACCGGCTTCCTCTTCCCCTCATCTTCGTCCTCGTGCTTTAAGAGGGATGCTGCAGCTTCTGCTGCTGACTCTGTTGTGGCCTCTGCTGCTCCTGCTGCTGCATAAAGTTCCTCCACTTTGCTGGGAGAGGGAGTGCTAAGAGGAGTCCACTGGATCTGCGAGACGAGGGCGTTGAATTGGATGGCGCCGGGGGGGAGGATGGATGCTAGGTGCTCTACAATGCGGGAGTAGCTGGGGAGAGAGAAGGGAGGTGAGGGGGGAGGGGGGGGAGAGGGGGGGGAGAGGGGGGGGAGAGGGGGGGAGAGGGGGGGGAGAGGGGGGGGAGAGGGGGGGAGAGGGGGGGAGAGGGGGGGGGAGAGGGGGGGAAGAGGGGAGGCATAGGAAAAAGAGAGGGGATGGAGAGAGTCGTGAAGGAAAGGAGGGATGAACTGGTAAACGGTTAAAAAGGAAGGGGAGGGCGTCAATAAGGGAGAGAGGGAGGGAGAGAAATGGTATGTGAGGGAGGAAGTATGGTGGAGGTGGAAGGATGGTGCAGGTGGAAGGATAAGAAAGAGGATGGTTCATGGCATTTTGAGGTGACTTTTGAGGCGCCTCAAAAATAGACTCCTTTGGTGCAGGTGGAAGGATAAGGAAGAGGATGGTTCATTCATGGCAGCTCCCTGATCGGATCTCTCAGCATGCTGAGGATGGTCATACGCTCGCGAGCTTATGACCCCCCGTGGTGCATACAAGAGCAATAGCACATACAGATTAGAATCTTTCGCACAGTCAGCCATTTACACGCACACATAGGGCATGGGCATGGGACCATAGTGGGATAATTCAACATCCCCCGGACACATGTACATGCACACACGCACACGCACACACACACACATACACACGCACGCACGCACACGCACACACACACACACACACACTCACACGCGCGCGCACACGCACACACACACATACACACGCACGCACGCACGCGCGCGCACACACACACACACACACAAACACACACACTCACATGCGCGCGCGCACGTGCACACACACACACACACACACACACACACACACACACACACACACACACACACACACACACACACACACACACACACACACACACACACAAGCGCGGACGCGCGTACATACATACCCCTTGGCGATGGTGACATGCGGGCCGCCGTACTCCTCGTACTCGCCAAAGTAGCGCAGCGAGAGGTCGTGCACGGAGTGGCATGCGCTGATGGTGCACTCCAGCCGCTCCCTCTGCTGCAGCACCGCCACCCGCGCCCTCACTGCCTCGTCTGCCCAGTCGATCGCCTCCTTGCTGCTCTCGGCTGCTGCTGATGTTGATTGTGCTGCTGCTGCTGCTGCTGCTGCTGCTGCTGTTGGTGGTGGTGATAATGGTGCTGCGGGTTCTGTCATTCCTGCTGCTGCTATTGCAGCGACGTCTGCTGCTGGTAACTCAGTTGCCACCACTGCTGTCGTTGTGGCCACGACAGATGGACCGGCGCTGGCACTGGATGGCGAGAGCAGAAAGGGTTGGGGGCGGTGAGGGAGAGGGACAGGAGAGGGGATGCGGAGTGAGTGAGAGCGGTGAGGGAGAGTGCAGAGACGCATGTGTGAGTTGAGAGCGAGGGTAAGAGGTGAAGGGGGTGGAGAAGGGAAGGTGGGGGGGAAAGAAAGGAGAAGGAGGAGAGAGGGGGGGGGGGGGTTGTGGAGTTGATCCTGAGAGTCACCTGGCACAGTCTTGGAAGGCGACGGCAGAGTCTCCAGCATTGCACAGCACTGTGGCTCCTGTCCAGTCATCCTCCCACCTGTCCTCGTCGTCCTCCTCATCCTCGTCCTCGCTGTCCTCCTCGCTGTCATCCCTGTCACAGCCACTGCTGCCGGTTCTGCCACTGCCGTGATTGCCTTGCTCCTGCTCATGCCGCTGCTCCAGCTTCGTTTCCGTGTTGCTCCACCCCCTTTTAGAGAGATACTCCAGCATGCCATCATGGATGTGCTGCCCCACACTCGCGTCTAACGTCACCTGGAAAGGCAAAGGGGCTGAGACATTATGTGAGTGAGACACACACAGATGCATGCACGCACGCATGCACGCAGGGGCTCTTTTTGAGAATTCTCAAAAACACGCCGGGGTTCGTTCGCAGAGCTCCATCCTTTCTGAACGCCGCACTCCAGCATGCCCTCGTGAACGTACTGCCCCTGGGCCCACACTCTCGTCTCTTGTCACCTGGGGAGAGATAGGGACTGAGACAGCATGTGGGGCTAATACTCGCGGGGACGCGCACAGCTTATGCACTCACACACACGTTTCTGCATGCGCCCCTGCATGCGCCCCTGCATGCGCCCCTGCATGCGCCCCTGCATGCACATACCCGCGTTTCTGTCCAGATTTGTAGAGAAACGAATGGCACACGGGCATGCACATCCAGGCTGACCCCATGGAGCTCCTGATCAAATCAAACACCGTTCCGGGGGGCTGACATTATGGAGTACACGGAAGCCAACTGCTCCCACCACAACTCCCGCAAAAGCCAACTCAACTCAAGGTACCGAGCACCCAGTCACACCCCACCCCAACAAGCTTCTCATCTCCCAAGCGCTCTAAACCCCTCACCACACCTCTTTCCCAGTCTTGTCCACGTAGCACTGCTGCCCCTGCGTCCCCTTGCCAGCCCGCGACCCCACCAGTTGCGCCTCCCTCAGAAGCCGCCTGAACACGCGCTTCACCTCCCGCTCCACCCCAGCATCCACCTCCCCCCCGCCCTCGCTCCTCCACCGATTCCCCCCCTTCCACAGCCTCTCCTGGGCCTTTCCAGGCGCCTCAACACCCCCTTTCGTGCAGCCATTGCTTTCCAAGCCATCAGTCTTCTCCCCGGTAGCACCGTCTTCCTGGCTAAGAGTGCTATGGGTGCTACGGCTGCCACGGGTGTGCAGCAGGCCTTGCTCCTGTGCTATAGCGTAGAGGGGGCTGCCGTGAATGCCGTGGATCCAATTGGCACCCAGCTGGTGAGGGGGGGGAGGGGGGGAGGGGGAGGGGAGGGAGGGGGAGGGAGGGGGAGGGGGAGGGAGGGGAGGGGATGAAGGGGGAGAGAGGGTGAGAGGGCGGAGGAGGTGAAGCGAAAGGACTGTGCAGCAGGCCTTGCTGCTGCGCGATGGAGGGGGCTCACGTGAATGCCGTGGATCCAGTTGGCGCCCAGCTGGTGGGGTGGGGAGGGGGAGGGGAGAGAAGGGGGAGAGAGCGAAGAGGGGGGGAGAGAGAGGGGGGGGAGAGAGGTTGGGGGACTGAGAGGAAGAGAGATTATCTATGAGACAATGGAAGGTGATCGATTTTCTGACAGAATACCCATTTTCTAGTCCTATCCCGCCACGGCTGGAGAGAGGTAATGGCATCGACCATCATCGCATCCTCCCTGCACTGCTATCTGCGGTATTTTGAGTCGACTCAAAATACAACTCAAAATACAACTATCAGCGGCCTTCACCATAGTCAGAAATACGCCCTCCACCATGCGCCCAGATAGTACCTCCACCCCACACGCCCAGATGGTACCTCCATCCCACACGCTCCAGATAGTACCTCCACCCCACGCGCCCAGATAGTACCTCCACCAGGTCGCCCCCGAGTGTGGCAGTGTGGATGCGGCCTCCCACTCTGTCACTCGCCTCCAGCAACAGCACCCGCACACACCCCGATTGCTGATATGGCGCCGGCCGGGACGCCACGGAGGTGCGTGGGGGTGTGGGGAAGAAAAAGGGGGAGGGGGGAGTGGGGAGACGGGAGGAGGAAGAGGGGAGACGGGTGGGGGGAAGGGAGTGAAAGGGAGTGCGGAAAGACGTATGACCGAGGGATTGAGAGCATGGGGAGAGGTAGGCATAGCGGAAAGAATGAGGGAGGGAGGGGTGAGGAGGCAGAACGAGACAGTGGGAGAGGGCAAGAGAAGAAAGGAAGGGACGGGGAAGAGATGCAGGAGGAGTGGCTTCTCACGCCGGCATATTCCAACATTCAGGTCACGTATGTGTGCAGCAGCATACGTACAACCCACGTGCCGGAGAGCGATCTGTGATCTCTCACCTGCAGCGTGTGTGCTGCAGTCACGCCCGCCATTCCCGCGCCCACGACCGCGACCACTGGTCGCGCATCCATGGCGTGCGACTTCGCCTATCCCTAGCTCAGTCACCTGCTCGCTCGATCAGTCGTCGCGTCGCCGCGAAAGCGCCTCGTTCTCCAAGAATCGCGTCGAGGAGGAGAACGAGGTCGAAAACGACGCAGTGCAGTGTGCAGCTATTGGCGATGGCCGCTTTTTTGGGCCAATTTAGAAATGACGGGGTGAAAAGATTCACGGAACGGCACGTAACGGTTGCTTCGTCCGCAGTTCCGTCGTAGCACCGTGTGGGCTAGCAGCAGGAATGGCGGTGAGCTGTGAGGGGCGAATTCCAGGGGTTGAGGGTTCGGGGTTGAACCGTACAGAACTGGGTGGCGCAAGGTGTAACAGAAGGAAATTGTGGCACGCTGCTGTCGCGGACAAGTGGGTCGCAGAGCAGACGGTTACAGGGATTTTGACCGTCGCGAAAACGGTTGCGAGGGGATCAGTTTTGTTCCGGTTATAGCACTATTATGGGACAGATCCGTGACTATTTTGGAACCACACATATCAAACGGCACCAATTGTACAAACGTTCATAGGGGAAGCTTCAAGCGTTTGAAATACGAAAAAATATATATCACTTGGGTTGATTATAGGAATTATGAAAAACCTAGGCACATATAATTTATGGATGTAGTCTGGGAATTACTATACAATAATGTGGAAGCGATCTCGTAAGTATAAGGAATATGCAGTTTACAGGTCCATTCTCACCGTTCACAACCACGCCGCTTCCTTTGCTTCGCTGAAGCCTGGCACCCCTCCCATCCATCCCATCCCATCCATCCCATCCCATCCCATCCTACCATTTCCCAAATTCCCACACAACCCCCCTCCTCCCCCACACAATTACCCCTTCTGGCGCTGCGAGTCCGCCTGTGATGTCTCCTTGCAGGTCGCTCGCTACAGCACTCTAGTCTAGACCCCCTCACCCCCAAACAAACCAGATTCACTCCCCGAGGCAGACAGCTCTCTAAAAGCCAGCTCACAGGTTGCCAGAAGGACCCTGGGGAACCAACGCTTGGCCCTGCGAAACGTTGTGTCCCGTCCCAATCGCCGTCCATTCGCGACTCTCACCAGCACATCGGTTCGCGACCGACGACGCCTGTCCGCTATCCCGCAGACCAGCATCCCTCAGCTCAGCTCAGCCAATCCGAGCTCACCGCGCGGAACGGATGGCTCCCCTGGTTCGGAAGAGCCGCCAGAACCAGACGTCACGTCTGCACATCGGCATGGATGGAGGGCTCGGCGATTCGGCCCGAACGCCATCCATGGATCTTATCCATTATGGGAGCGCGGTCCTCCCCTATGCGCTGCGCGCTTCCCTCTGTCGTCCCAGGGTCTCCTCGCGTCCCTACCGCTATAAATCTCAGCCGGACTCAGCGTACCTTTCAAATTGTCGAAGTAACTGAGCTACTGCACTTCAATCGCTACTATCACCGTTGTCGTGAGACGCTCACCGCCAATCTCCGTCGTTCGCTCTTCGTTCTCGTCGCTCGCAATGGCTCGCCATCCCCTCCGCGCACCCCAGCTGGTGGCTCTGGTGACGCTAGCTGCTATCGCTGCGCTCCTCGCTTCTGCGCCTGCCGCGAACGCCGATGGAGTGAACTACAGCAAGAGCAGCCTCGACTGGGAGGTAATCAGAAGTGGTCGGGGAGGAGATGACTGTGGGTCCTGGCGATTCAGGGCGATTCAGGTTTCGGTGCTGACAGATTAAGTTTTTTACTCTTTGGCTAACCCATGCTGCTACGCGCATGGGAGGGATGTTTTGCTCAATCCGTGGCGCATGGGTCATTCAGGTCGCAGCAACCACTGGTTGTCAGTTCAGCATTGGCTCTTTAAAGAACAGTACTGAAACCCTCTCCAACCAATTTCCACTGGGCGTGTGTGCGTCGGGTGAGAGCCAGTCGCCCATCAACATAGTGATGAGCGAGGCACGGACCGTGAACGAGGCGTCTACTACTTTCTTTCGCTGCCTCACTAAAGACTACTGGAACCCTCTCCACCCCAAACTCACCCCGCCCCCCCCCTTTCCCCCCTCCACCCAGGGCGCGTGTGCGTCAGGTGAGAGCCAGTCGCCCATCAACATAGTGATGGACGAGGCACGGACTGTGAGCGAGGCGGAGAAGTTCCACGTGGACTATGAAACGGCAGCCACCACTGCCACCGTTGTCAACAAGGGCTACACCATCCGTGAGTCACGGCGCCTCACTTTTTCTCCCGGCTTTTTCTTCGTCTTCTTCTTTCTTTTACTCCTGCTGTGGTAACCCTTGCCTCTCTTGGCTCTCTGGATCTTTCCTCTCCTCTTGCACCATTAACACTCGCTCTGTCTGTCTTTCCCTTCTCCCCACCCCATTCTCTTCCTTGCTTCACGTCTCACCCTCCTACCCTCTCCATTTTCCTCCCCTCTCTGTCTCCCTGCTCTCCTCCCCTCTCGGCCTCCATCCTCCTACCCTGCCCATTCTCCATCCCCTCTCTGTCGCCCAGAGGTGGTCCCGAACCCATCCAACTCCTACATGCTGCACATAGCCAGCGGCAGCTATGCCTTGAAGCAGGTGCACGTGCATTCCTTCTCAGAGCACGCAGTCAACGGGCTCTTCGCCCCCATGGAGGCCCACTTCGTGCACGCACACATCGACAACCCCTCCCAGCTCGCAGTAGTCGGCGTCCTGATCCGCCTGCAGCGCGACGACAAGCCCAGTGCGTGGGTCAACTCATGGCTGCCCGAGACCCCGTCTGCAGTGAATGCGACGGCGGGCATTGAGGTTCCCGGGAACTTCTGGAGGGAGATGGTGGACGCGTCCGTGGGGTTCTGGCGCTACCCGGGCTCGCTCACCACTCCCGGCTGCGATGAGATCGTCGAGTGGCACGTGCTGCGCAAGGCCAAGTTCCTCTCCGTCGCTCAGGTAGTTGAATTACGCCATGTTTACTTCTGGCACTACCAGTGCATTCTCCCATGTTCGCAGTGCCCAGAAATGCGGCTCCATTTGATCCTTGGAACTTACTCTCTCCCTGATCCTGCTTTTCCCCATGGTCGTGCATGTACACCTGTCAGGCTGCCAGCTTCATGAATCTCATGGGAGAGCTGAACCAGGAGCGCACCAACAACCGCCTGCCAGAGCCACTCAACAGCAGGGAGGTCACCTACTTCCCTAACGTCACCGCTTGATCAGCAGCACCTCCGCTTCGCTGACATGGCACTACTGTTCCAGCATCATGAGTGGAGCTTGAGTATGAGTGGATGGGGTATGTGTGGTGTGGTCTTTGTTGACATGTACGCATCACTATGTCAATGAAATGGAATTCTTTTGTCAGCAGCTGTGAAGGGATGAAGGAGACGTACAAAACTTGCACTAGCCACTAAGCTTGCATAGACCATGCAATTCAGGTTGATAGAGTTGACTTTCCACTGTAGTTTAGAAGTACGTAGTCTATATATTAAAGATGTCTCATCTACACCGAACGGTATGCATCTCTTTTGCATTAATGCAAGCGCGGGGTCTGTTTGTCCGTACTGGCGCCGCGCCACGCTCTGACACCACCTGGCACTGTCGACAGCCACCCTGAGTGAAATGCGGTGGCCTGCACCACCAGGAGAATCAAAAGTCTTGAGAGGGAGGGCACGCACCGACAATCCCAAGGAAATTGCGGGAGGGAGGTTTGGCCGAAATGTAATTTTTGCGCTGGGCAGGCAGAATTCACGAAAATAGTTCGAGAGGGCTTAAACAAACAAAACATGCCAAGTGAAACTGGCTTTGTACGTGGGCGCCCTCATTCTGTCCCGAGCATCCAGGTTCCAGTCGTGATCCTGAACAGCGTGAGAGAAGCTTTTCCTCAGAACTGGAGCTGTCATATATCCTAGGAATCATGAGGTTTCTTGTCGAATGCCCATTTGTTTTTGGGCTCTGCTGTTCTACAGGTGGTCGTCAAGTCCGACCAAGAGGAGTCTGTAGCAAGCAGGAAGAATCATACATGCATGGCGGAAACCACTGGCATGGTTGCATAATCAGATACTAGTACTACCTGCGCGTCCGAACCGGTTCGAAGTCGTGCTAACAACTTCCAGTGCTGCCTGCTGATTACTCCGCGCCAGTCGTCGCATAGCTACACACCATCGATCTGCTTCTGAGCCGACTCGAAAGCTACACACGAACGATCTGACGCGCGGACCTAGACTTTCGCGATCAGGCTGTCCTCTCAGCTGCACCACGACACGAGCTGTTTGGCCCGAGTGCTTGCGTCTAGGCGCTTGTGAGTACCGCGGATTCGTTACCCAGCAGTTCGGGCATCATATATCCATAATCGGAAATCGCCGCTGCTATCAGAATGAAGTCTAGACTAAAAGTGCAGCATGAGTCAGAATCTAGATCGATTTACTGCACCAGAAGGAGCAGCAGCAGCAGCAGCAGCGGAGGCAGAAGGCACCATAGACGAGGGAGCCTAGTTACCAGCAGCAGCAGCGGCAACTTCGGCAGCCGCACACAGTCGTGGCTGTCATCTAGATACTGGCTCGTGCCGCTGGCGTCCCTGCTTCTCTTCTCCGCGGCGACTGCTCACCTCACACAGGTGCACAATTGCTCTCAGGTGCCCTCACGTGCCCTCAGGTGCTTTCAGGTACTCAAATTTCGTCTTATTGATGAGGTGGTACCTGGCAAACACGCGTCAGTCTTAACGTGCGCACCGCTTGTGAATCCGCACAACGACACGTGTATATACATGGACGCACCTCCACGTGTCATGATGTCCTGCGTGCATATACATCGTATGTTTCCATCAGCTTTTGAGTCCACTCAGAAGCGTGTTGTGGGATGTCCTTAACGCATATACGTGCCCGTATTTCTCCGCCGGCTCAAATCAACTGCAGGACGGCAGCAGCGCGATTGCCGCCGCGATCGGCGCAAACGGCGGGGCAGCGCACTTCACATCCCGGGTCTTCCTCTCGCTTGACGCCGCCAAATCCGCCTCCGCGCCACTTTCGGTACGACTGCGATGCACGGTTGAGTCTAAGTGGAGAGTTCGAGAGGCAAGGAAGGGATAGAGGAAGAGGAAGAGGAGGGGTAGGGGAAAGGGGGAAGTGGGTGGGAGCATGTCAGTGTTTCCATCTGCAGGATCGTAGCGCAAGGGAGTAGTCACCGCCTTTCCGTGTTCCGCCGTCTCTTATCGGGTCTTATTCTGTGGCCCACCTTGACCTTATCCCCCCCTCAACTTCGTTCTCTGCTATCCTCCGCGCCTCACCTTTCCCCTCCATACTATCCCGCCTCCTTCCCCCCAACCACCCTTCCGCCCCGCCCCCTCCCCTCCCCCCCGCCCCCCCGCCCCTCCGCCCTCAGCGGAGGCATGCGCGCGTGCTGGCGGGTAAGGCGGCGGACGGCGTGAACGCGCTGCTCAACATCTCGTCGCCATTCAACAACTTCGGGTATGCCGCCCGGTCCGCCTGCGCACCGCCCGCCTGCGCACCGTCCGCCTGCGCACCGCCCGCCTCCGCACCGTCCGCCTCCGCTCGCCGCGCACGCGCACGCCTGATGCTACTAGATGCTCTTGATGCTCTTGGTTCTCGCGCGCGCTTGATGCGAGGGGTCTCGCACCACCCGGCGCTTCACGCCTGGCGTCCCTCCCCGACACGCCCCGCACGTCGGCCGTGGAACCACGCAACACACTATTCGCCGCTCCTCCTTGCAGTGGTTGCAGGCCCTGTTCCTGCCTGACACGCCTCTCCTTCCGTCCTCTCCCTTCTCTTATCTCCCCCTCCCCTCCCTTCTTCCCCGTCCCTGTCCATTGCTACTCCTCCGCGCCTTCCCCCGTCACCCTCCCCCTTACCCTCGCGCATCTTCCCACCCCCTCCGCGAACCTCCAATTCTCTCTCCCCTGTCTGTCCCGAACTCTCTTCACCCGCGCATGATCCCTGGCGCCTCTGCCCCTGCCGCCCTCCCTCCAGGCGCATGTACACGCGGCTGACCCTGGGCACGCCGGCCCGCACGTTCGCGGTGAACGTTTGATTCTTATTAGGCGCCTCAAAAATTGCCGGCCCATCTGCTGCGGTCCTCCTACCTTGCGCCCCTCTTTGCCCCCCCCAGGCGCATGTACACGCTGCTGACCCTGGGCACGCCGGCGCGCACGTTCGTGGTGAACGTGGACACGAGCACGAGCCTCTCCTGGGTCTCCTGCGACTGCCTGCAGTGCCCCTCCTCCTCCTCCATCGTCAGCGTGGGTTTCTCCGCCGCTCCCCTTTCTCCCCCCTTTCTCTCCCCTTTCTCCCCCCCTTCTCTCCCCTTTCTCTCCCCTTTTCACCGCCCGCTTCTTTCACGTTTTCTCGTGCAGTGCCCCCCGCTTCCCCTCCTCCTCCATCGACAGCATATGCTTGCGTCTTCCCCTTCCTGGCGTCTTCCCCTTCCTTGCTTCCGTCTCCCTTTCTTCCTTTCCTTTCTCTCTGTCGCTCGCGAGCCCACTCCTTCCTTCCTGTTATTTCTCTCTCTCCTCTCCTGTGTACCACCAAAGATCCAAGAGCGGGCTTCGAGACAAGCTCAGCAAGTCGCTCCTCCTCAGCAAGACGCTCCCTCCCCCCTCCTCTCTCCCTCACTCCACCTCCCCCCACCCCATCCTCTCCTCCCCTTTCCTCCTCCCCCTCCCCTCCTCCCCCACCCCTCCCCTCAGCCGCTCTCCGAGTTCTCAACAGCAGCATCGTCCACCGCCATGCTGTGGGTTGCAAGGACGCAGCATGCGCGCTGGCACCAGTGTTTGGGTGCAACCAGCCATTCCAGGGGGGCAAGCAGGGCGTGTGCGAGTGCGATTACGCCCTGGGGACTTACGGGATGTGTGTATCGCTTCGCTCCCCTCCCCTCCTCTCCCCTCCCCTCCCCCTCACGCTCCTTCTCGTCTCCCTCCACTCCCCTCCCTTCCCTTTCCCTCCTTCCCGTTCCCTCCCCCCCTCCCCTCCTCCCTCTCCCCTCCCCGCAGCCGCTCTCCGAGTTCTCAACAGCAGCATCGTCCACCGCCAAGCCTGTGGGGTGCAAGGACGCAGCATGCTCCCCCGCCCCCGTGTTTGGCTGCAACCAGCTGGCGGAGGGGGGCAAGCAGGGTGTGTGCGAGTACGCCCTCGCCACCAACGGCACGCTGGTGGCGGACCGGATCGGCCTCATGGCTGCTGATGGCACCACTACCAGCGCTGCTGCGACTGTGGTGTTTGGGTATGTTTCTGTGTCCTCGTGTTTCTGTGTCCTCTGTGTGTCTGTGTCCTCCATGTCTCTGTATCCTCTGCTGGCCGTCACATGTGTCATTACATCCCCCAAGGCAGGCACCTCTTTCTGGCACTCGTTCCGCTTCTGCTCCAGCTGTCATGTCAGGCACCACTGATCCCTCCTACCGCCCGCCCTCTGCCTCCCCCCTCCGCACTCTGCCCCCAACTCTTGCCACCCTCTCTCTGTCTTCCAGCCGTGTCAGCAACCGACCTGGATGACCTGACCCCCAGTGGCAGTGGACGGAGTCCCGGGCTGGGCCTGATCGCGAGGAACTACTGCTACTCCGTGCTCGACCCGCTCTCTCTCTCTTTCCTGCCCGCCCTCACAACTCTCCCCCCCCCCCTTCAGTTGCGCTAGCGTCCACCCCATTGAAGACCTGGACGACCCCATGGCAGTGGACGGAGTCCTGGGCAAAAGGGGGGGGCTTGCTTCTGCCAGGAGCTACTCTGTTCTCAACCAGCTGGTTGCGCTGGCCGTGCTGCCACTGCTCCCACTCATGCCAACTACTCTCCTCCCCTCTCCCCCCTCCCCTCTACCCCTGCAGTTGCGCCAGCGTCCGCCCCATTGAAGACCTGGACGACCCAGTGGCAGTGGACGGAGTCCTGGGTCTCGGCGCCCGGAGCTACTCTGTTCTCAACCAGCTGGCGGTAGCGGCCGTGGTGCCGGCGGCCTTCTCCCTGTGCTTCGACTCCACGTCCAACTCGGGGTTCTTGTCGCTAGGGGCGCCTCTCGTCCCACCCAACGTTACTACCACGGACTATGTGGGCTTCGACAATGAGTGAGTCCGCGTGCGTTCCTTGTGGTGCCGCCCGCCTTCTCCCTGTGCTTCGAATCCACATCCAACTCGGGGTTCTTGTAGCTGGGGGCGCCGCTCGTGCCGCCCAACGTCACCACCACGGTCTATGTGGGCTTCGACAATGAGTGAGTGTATGCGCCTTTTTCGCTTTTTGTCAAACCCTAGAGTCCTTGTGCCTCTCGTGTGCGTCTCGTGTGCCTATTGAGTGCCTCTCGAGTGCTTCCGCCTAGGGTTGCCTAGTGTCACCACCACAGACTATTGGGGCTTTGACAACAAGTGAGTGCCCCATGCGCTGCGTGTGTGGTGTGCTGGAGTCTATCGAGCCCCTGCTACCCCCTCCCTGACCCCCTCCCCCTCCCCTCTTCCCCACCCCCCCTCTCCCCCCGCCCTTCGCTGCCATTCCTTGTACTTCTCCCCTTCGATGTGCCGCTGTTGCTGCACTGCACGCCAACTTCCGAGCCACCTCTCCTTTCTGCACATAATGGCACAGCAGTTGCAGTTAGCGGAACAGCAGCAGGCCTCCCCACTTCTTTCTCTCCCACCCCCCCCTCTCCCTCCCTACTGCAGCACGCGCTACTTCCTGCTGCTGACTCAGATCCGCGTGGGCGGGAGGGCAGTGAAGGGCAGCACACTCTCCCTTCCCTACCCTGGTCCTGCCCCCTTCCCTCACACTTCCTGCCTCTCTCCCCAATTCCCCTCGCCCTCCCCTCGTCCCTCCCCTCGTCCCTCCCCTCGTCCCTCCCCTTGTCCCTCCCCTTGTCCCTCCCCTCGTCCCTCCCCTTGTCCCTCCCCTCGCCCCTCCCCTCGTCCCTCCCCTCGTCCCTCCCCTGTCCCTTCCCCCCCCCCTGCAGCACGCGCTACTTCCTGCCGCTGACTCAGATCCGCGTGGGCGGGAGGGCAGTGAAGGGCAGCGCGGTGGTGAGCAAGCTCAACGCGGACCTCACAGGGGGCTTCACAGTCAAAAGCAGCTACCTCTCCTCGGGGCTTAAAGCCGACGTGCATGCTGACCTAGTCAAACTCGTGAGTAGTAGAGCGTGGTCTGAGAAGTGTTGGGAGAAGCTCTAAGGGGATCTCACAGGGGGCTTCACCATCAAGAGCAGCTACCCCTCGTCGGGGCTTAAAGCCGACGTGCACGCTGACTTGGTCGAACTCGTGAGTTTTCCAACAGCTTGTACCCGTGCAAGTTGCAGTACAGTTGCAGCATGCTGCTAGAATGGCGCGTCAACCAAACGTGTTGCCCACGCTATTGCCCTGCCCTTGTGCTCAACCATACTCGTTGTACTGCCCCTGTGCCAATGCGAGTTTTGAGGCGCCTAAAGAATCGACTGTGCCTATCCATGAAATTTCTGGAATGCACCTGGCAGGTGTTTGCCAACTCGTCTCTGCGCCGAGCTGACATGGACGTCTACTCATGCGTGCACCTCACCGTCTTGTGAGTTCGCTTCGTCTGTGCTCTCCCATCCCATGCCAGTGCACTCTCCATGCCATGGGACATGCTAATTTCATATCCCATGCCATTGCGCTCCATCCCAGTGCACTCCATGCCATGCGACATGCTGATTGTTTGTTTGCATATGCTGTGCACCTTGAGGGGCCAGGCATTTCGTACCTTCTGTGTGGTCGTCACCTAACCACATGTTGTTCCTCTCGTCTTGCCCTGTACCCTTACCTTCCACTGCTCACTGTTTCACCCTCTCGACCTCCACCTTCCCCCATGCACCCATAACCACCACCACCACCACCACCACCACCACCACCACCACCAAACCCCCCCCGTGACTGGCAGTGAGGCGCAGGATATGGTGTTTCCGTCCATCTTCCTGGACGTGAAGGAGGGCTCGCTGGAGATCACATCCAACAACTACCTCATCAAATATGTGAGTCATGCGGCAACTACCCTACGTGGGGGCAGAGCGCACAGCCTCGTGTCATGTGGCAGAGCGCACGGCCGCATGTGGCGCGTACCTTTC